ACTTTTTGGAACAACACATGGACGTTTATACTGTTGGCAACCAAAGTATTTGCTCAATCACTGTAAATTCTCCCACACTCTGCAGTTTGAAACCAGAGAAATTAATAATATTCTAGCAACCCAGGAAACATGCCTGCAAGGACAGGTGGTGTTGGAAATGGTCCAGCAGGGATCTGTGTAGGAATTTAGTCAAAATTATCTCTGTAGGAAAGCCAAAAATAAAGAGAAATCTCAGGATGGAGGAGAAGCCAGAATGCAACTCAAGTGTTCCCTACAAGAGTTGGTCTTCTAGGAAAGGCCAACCATAGGCTTGCTCTGAAGGGAGGGAATTCCTTTGTGCGCCTTAAGTCTTCTAGCTTGAAGAGGGAGTTCTATCTTTCTTTCTTATTGGGTCACTTTCTACTAAGTCCAACGACTAAGACATGAGAAGACACCCAGAATTAAGGATAACTAGACTCTTTCTAGAAAGTCTCCAATCCAGTGGAACAGTCTCCCCTTTCCTAGTGAGGTATCCTGACCTTGACTTTTATCCTTGGGGGATCCCTCTGAAAGAGAGATCAGGAGAAAGATTTGTGAGATCCATCCCATTACTCCCCATTCCTGGAAGGACATCAGAACCTAAATAAGCAAAGAGCAGTTAAGACAAAAAAGGATTTGGATTTTATTTTCTGTCCACGAAAATCCTTGTGTCCATCAGTGAAGATGGATGAGACCAATGGGAGAATCACTCCAAATTAGATACTCTTTGGAAGAACGCAAGAACAATTTCTCTAATGAGGTACTCTTAATCTACTTGCATTATTAATCTCCTAAACTCCATCATGGAGAAATGGAAGAATTCAAGTATGTGAACATCCCTTCATATTCCCCAAAAGAAGGTTCTCTGACCTGGGGCTCTTCCTGCTTCTTCTCTCCTCTGACAGGCTCAGGAGGGTTGTTCTAGCCACTGGCACCGCCGGGCAACAACTCTCCACTGGCTCTTCTGGCTTTCCAAAGATTCTCCCAGCCTCAGAATCTGAATCTAAATGGAGATATGAGCAGGGGATTCCTTTAGGCTTCCTTCTCTCCTCCCACCTGCCCCATTCTTGGATTCCCCCCACCCCCCCGGAGTGGAGCATACATAGTGGGCTTAGTCAGTCTTCAGCCAAGAGAGCGTCCCCTGCTGGCACCTGGGGTGAAATCGCTTTGGAGACTATCCAGGGCAGCCTCTGCCTGGAGTTGCACCTGTCCTGGAGAGCGAGCTCTGCAAGTGGCATCCTGGAGAAGCCAGGCGGAGATCAAATGCCGGTTCCGTTCTTTTGGGAGATCTATTAATCTAATCTCTCTGTCTGTCACTCCCATACACACCGAAACATAAAGACACAGGAGGGAGGATGGAGAAAGACTCACCATCAAAGCTTAAAGAAAAACAGGCTGGGAAAAACTAAAGGTTTCCCAGGAAGTAAAAGTGAATTTCCCTTGTGAGACCTGAAGCCACATGGGGTCCTCCTGTCTCTTCCCCGGAGACCCAATGAAGGTCCCCAGGAGACCAGGAACTCTGAGCGAATCTCCTTTCTGGCTGCTCCACCGCAAAGGGAGCGAAGGCAAAGGAGGAGCCCCCCCCCCAAAATCATACGTGGTTTTTGGTAGATTTTTATAGGAAAGAAGCAAAGTGCCAAAGTCTTTTCTTTCTTTATTTTCTTTCTTTTTTTTTTTGTTCAAGTGCAGTGTGCATTGTCATTCCACAATGTCTCAGGGGACTTCCTTACCCTCCCAGTTTTCTGCCTTAAGGTGTAAAAACAAGGAGTCCCAAAGATGCTTTTTTAAAGAGGCAACTGGACTTCCTTGTTTTTTTTCTTGGAAGACGTTTCGCTTTGAAGGGAAATAACAATGGGGAACAGTAATAGAATAAGTAGAATTAATGGGATATACTAATAGAATCAGTAGAAATTTGCTATTTCATTTTTTTGTAAGAATTGCTAGTGCTAGTCCTACAATTAATCTAACCTGCATTTGGCTTCGTTAAACATTTGCTTCCGCTATGCATTTGGCTCCTGTAACACATGTGCTTATCTAACATACATTTGGCCTGTGTGAAATATTTGATATCTGCACAACATGTGCTCCTGCCATGAATCTGAATCTTCATCCATCTCAATCTTGTTTTTCTGTGCCACTCAATGCCTGGTGCATATCCCAGGTTAGAAACTGCATACATCATTATTGTCAGGGTTTTACGCAGAAGGCACATATGGGTGTCAGGGTTCCAAGCAACCCCCCCCCCAACAGAATCAAAACTCAAAGGCATGCATATTTCTCAAAATACAGATTTATTAGGCATCTCATATTGGCACATCTGGGGAAACCCGATTCTAAACTTCCCTTGGGTTTCCCCCTAGTTAAAAATACATTTTTCCTCCCCCTGCCCATGCAGACCATCACATGGCCCAATCAGGTCACAACCCAAAGTTCATCCAGACTCACGTCCTGTCTCCTCACACCTAGTGGGAACATCCTTAGTTGTTGTGACTCCGACTCCCGAGCCCGTTTTATCAGAGGGAGAAGACTTTGAAAGTGAAGGAGAGGAGTTGGCAAGGCCTCCCTCTCCAGGACCCTCCTCTCTGGCAATGCCTCAGGTGTCCTCCGAAGGCCAAGAGATAGGCCAGGAGCCAGGCACTTCCGAGCAGCCGCAGTTAGACAGCGACGGAGATGAGTCTTGGCTGGATCCCCGACAGCGTCGGAAAGATAAGCGCGCGCAGCAGAGAAAGAGGCATGCCAGAGATTAAGCTGAGTCACTGGACCACACCTCACAGGGGGATAAAAGGGGGTGTGGTGGCCATTCAGGCCTTGTGACAGACAAAACTGAAAAGCTAGCAAGTCATACTGTGTTTCTGGAACTTTGTTATATGCCCTCCTTGGATTTATTATGGACTGAAATTGATAATTCTTTGGCTTTGTGGACTTATTTTGATGTATCGGATGGAGGAGAAAAACCTCCCTTTGTGAGTAAAGTCTTTGGCAGGCAGCTACTGGGTTGCTGCCAATTCTGTTATCTCAAAGGAATTCCTGACTGCTGGTTTTATTAACTCTCGGCTGACTGTTTGTGTGCATGTGTGAGACGGGGACAGAACATTGGTTCTCAGAGGAAAGAATTGTAATTTGGCTACACATCCTGTGTTATCTCTACCTCCCCCCTCCCATTCCCACAGTTTGCCCAACCTCTGCTGTGGCAGCCCTGAAGATGCCAAGGAAAATGGCTCCAGGGCTGACAACGGGGTGCCCTATTACATTTTTGACCTGTGTTGCTAAGCACCCAGCCAAATCCAAATTTTACTACTGGTTCTGTGGGTGTGGCTTGGTGGGCATGGCAGGGGAAGGATACTGCAAAATCTCCATTCCCACCAGTGGTGGGTTGCCCCCGATTTGGACTGGTTTGCAAGAACCATTAGTAAAACTGGCAGGAGGCTCCACCCCCTGACCCAGACATCATCATAGGTGATCTGCGCATGTGCAGAAGCGAACCGGTAGTAAAGGTAAGTAGAACCCACCCCTGATTCCCACCCCACTCCAAGGGAAGGATACTGCAAAATCCCTGTTCCCTCCCCACTCCTGGGGAAAGGATATTGCAAAATCTCCATTCCCACCCCACTCTGGGGCCTGCCAGAGGTAGTATTTGCTGGTTCTCCGAACTACTCAAAATTTCCGCTACTGGTTCTCTGAACTACTCAAAATCTCTGTTATCGGTTCTCCAGAACCTGCTGGATTTCACCCCTGACCCAGCCCAGTTCTCTATGGCACCAGTGGGTCCAGTAGCAGATAAGATGGATGAAAACAGGGATAGCCAGGGATGAGGGAAGATTGATGAGGGAAGCATCCATCTTGCGCAGGGCCATAAGGAATGCTTTGAGGATAATGAAGTCCTGGACCAGGAGGACAGAATACGGTACCAAGCTGATCTCTGAAAATATAAAAGGTCGCCATACTTTCCCCAAAGTATGGCTTTTCCCTTGCATGCTCTTTGCTTGTATGTGGGGGGACAGTCTACCCAGCTCTTTGCTTTGGTCAAAATAAAACCTCTTACAATCCCAAGCCTCCGCTTAAGCTCTTCTTTTGGTCTATCAGTGACTTAAGTGCACCCCTAAAACCTTACAGCTTCTTATTGAAGGAACTTCTTCAGCTCTAACTGGATGGTGGGGAATGAAAGGATTTATACTCCTTTCAGACAGTTTGTCATTTGCATTCTTTAGAGAGACATTGAGGCCACATGGAGGTCTATCTGTGTCCTCAGGGTGACCTGAGTGGTGCATTTTGGAGCCTTTGTGGAACTGCTTGCAAGGACTGTGTTGCAGACTAGAGATGGATGATGTCATATCACTCCCCCTCTGTTGAGAGAGGGCTGTTCAATTTTCAATTTTTCATCCATTTCCAGTCTACAACACAGTCCTTTCAGCAGTTCCAAGAAGGCTTCACATCCATTTGCACCACTCAGGTGACCCTGAGGACACAGGCGAACCTCCAAGTGGCCTCAAGGACTCTCTAAAAGGATGCAAATGACCAGCTGTCTGCAGCTTTTGGTAAATAAGCTGACCCCCTCCTCTTTGTGGCAGCCCCTCAAATATTGGAATATTTCTATCATGTCCCCCTATACTGGCTATACCTAAATCCTGCAACTGTTCTTCGTATGTTTTAGTCTCCAGGCCTTTAATCATCCTAGCTGCTCTTCTCTGAACTTTTTCCAAGGTCTCAACATCTTTTTTGTAATGTGGTGACCAAAACTGGATGCAGGATTGCACGTGTGGCCTTACTAAGGCTTTATAAAGCGGTACTAATACTTCATGTGATTTTGATTCTATGCCTCTGTTCATGAGTACGTTAAATTTCAATCCCACAGGGGTTTTGGGTCATGGATTTGGGATGCAGTCTGTGAGTCAGCTACCATTTGAGGTAGGTTGAATCAAAAATTGTGGCCCAATGAGGCACCCAGTTGAAGGTTACAAACAGACACAAGAGGTTTAGTAGTATATAGATAATAAAACCTTTAATGTAAGTAAGTTCTAATTGGAGACTCTTCAGGAAAAACACAGGGCGGGCTTCCCCCTTTCCCTATCAGCCTCCCAAGCAGGTCCACACTGCAGGGGTGTGGTTTATGGGCAGGGACTGGATGGAGCAAGAATCTGCCTCTTTAGGACCAGGGATTGCTCTTCATCTTATCTCCTGGGACTTGAAGGTGGTCCAGGTTCAGCCGAGGAGTCCAAAGGGAGGCTCCAGAGTGACCTTGACAAAATGGAATTATCTCTATTTGATTTAATTAGAGGATTAATCAAGAGAGGAGCCCTCCCTCCCTCCCTGTAGATGTTTCATATTAACAAAGAAGATGGGGCTACAATGGGGATGGCAGCAAAGGAGGGAGGCTGGCATCATTTTGCCAGAACCTTTGCAAAAGATCAAAAGAAGGAAAGGCAACTCACAAAAGAGGGATGCTCCCTTCCCTTCCCCTCTGCAATTTCCCAAAATTGTGTAGTGTTTTTGTGTTCAGTTGCATTGCATTTGGGGTCCCAAGTAAGGAAAAGCTGCCAAAACATCCTATTAAAAAATTAGGAAGCCTCCAAAACAGAGAATTTGGCTTTTTAAATTCTCTGTTATGGAGCCTCCACCACTTCCCAATACTTTTTATTTTTTATTTAATAGAGGGAAAATAGAAGATACTCACCTGCAGGTGGCTGGATGAGTATTGCTGGAAGGAGAAAACGACCCAATGAGAACTGTTCATGGGCTGAGGACTGAGGGGGGTCCCCTCCCCATTGATAGCCCATAATAGGTTGCATGATCTTCAATTAATAACCCCTTAAAGAACAAAACTTCCCAAATAAATTTCTCAGGGGGACCATCGGCCATATGGGGGTCAAGGGAACTCTCTTTCCTATTTGCTCACTAAGCCTGATGAGAGGCCTCCCCTAGATCACAGGTGTCAAACTTGCATCGTCACGGCAGCATCACATGACATCACAACTCACCCCCTTTGCTGAACCGGGTGTAGGTGTGGCCAGCATGTGATGCATCCGGTCCGCGGGCCCCAAGTTTGACAACCCTCCCCTAGATGGTCCCTCCCCACAACCTCTCCTCCAGCCCCACAGACTCACCTTTCTTGCTCTTCAGGTAGGAGAAGAGCCCCATAGCCAGGAAAGCCACTCCTATCACAGCCCCCACAGCCCCCAACCAGAGCTTGCTCCTGGCAGAGCTGGAGGAACGGGGCTCTGGAGAAGGAGAAGGAGCCTCACCTGAGCAGGAGGATCAGGCCCACCTTCCCTCAGGAGGGTCCATTCTGGTTCTGCCCACAGAGAGGGTCTTTCTACCTTCTCAGGGCAGGATGGGATCCCCAGAGCAGGAGGGGAGGGTCTTACCCCACTGGACAGTGATGGGGGCCTCCAGGCTGGCATGCCCCACCTGGCAAGTGTAGACATCCCCCCGCTGGGGCTGTGTCTCCAGCATCACCTGGAGCTGGTAGGTCCAGTCTCCATTCTGGAGCTCCTCCCCGAAAGCCACACCCTCCTTTTCTTGCCGTCCATTCTTCAGCCACTGGACTTCAATCTCCACAGGGTAAAAGCCCGTCGCGATGCAAAGGAGAATGGTGTTGGGGGAAGCGGGGTCCATCTTGGTGGGGGAGATGGTGACGGTGGGCTTGGCTGGAGGGAAGGAGGCACATGACAGACACAACAATACCCAGAACAGAAGACCAAACGCAGAAACCATTTTAATTTTTAAATTACAGAATAAAGGCAAAATAATAATCTTGACCTCTATCTAATAAAAAGAATGATTGATCCAATTTATACAGCTGCTCATCTCAACAGGTGCCTCTGAGCAGCAAACAGTTTTAAAAAAATAAAAATAATTATAAATATTACAAAAGTTAAAACGCATAGCAGCCATGCAACAACTCAAATCAGAAACATAACCAAGAAGCCAGTCCCTATATGCCCTTGGCACCTCAAATGCTGGCATAGATAATAAAAGACCAGCAGGGTTGGTTCCATCCTGTTCTCAGGAGGTGGTTTCATGGCCCAGGCTCAGGATTCAAAGTCTGATTCCGATATGGAGGAAGTGCTCCAGTTAAAACCAGAGTATGTGAGCCTCAGGAGACCGGAAGCCAAGAATCCCATAAGGATGATCAAACACCTGAACAGCTGTGGCAGTCAGATGAGGATGATGTAAAGCTGTCCAGCCCAGAATGAAGACCACAGCAAAGACATTCTATAAGGCTTCTCACCAAGCAAGGGAGTACATTTCTTGAGAAATGACAGCTGGTTGCAGCCAGATAAAGGAGGCAGCTCTAACCCATGTTCCTCTGTGGGAAATGGTAATGGTAATCTATTATTCAGCTCTTATGTGACATTCCTGAGGATTCTGCCAGTGAAAGTCTGACCTCTGGACTGGCTGACAACCTTGACTCTGCTCTTGGAACTTTGGAATGATTTGGGACTATTTTTATGCACATTTCTGTTTACTCCAAACTTGGTTACAGACTCTGTTAAGATAATTAAAAATTTAATAGCTGGAGCAGTGAAGGGTTGGACAATGAGTAAAAACACACAGTTATAGCTAATTGGTTGAAGAGAGCTGGCCACAGCATGAGGGAATCTGATTGGTTGCTATGAGAGTAAAGGAAGAGTTTACTTGTATCCTGCCTTTTTTCCTCTGTGCGCTGTATGTGTTCTCTGTGTTTTACCTTATGATGTTCTTGCTGTGTTGATTTACCTGACAATGCTCTTGCCTATCTTATTTACTATAAATATATTTATTTATATAAAACTGGTTCATGTCAGCGTCCCTGACTCCATTTAGACACCGCAATTCCGTGACAGACTGTTTTAGTTTGCATTTTTTTGCTTTTGGCTGACTTTTGAGTAAACTGTGAGCAACCTTAGCAACAGTGTGAGAGTCAATATTTGAGACCTGAACCAGGATAGGTAGAATGGTCCACAAACTGGGTGCCGTAACCCCCCCCCAAAAAAGGGGGGGAGGACATGTTTTCTGGACCCACCCACCCACCCAATATTCTTTATCTGATGGTACCTGATGCATGCCCGTCCTTTCTGATCAGATCCAATGGATAGGAGCAACAGGGGAGAGATGGTCTTTCAATTAACCCTGTCCTAAGCCATGAAGGCCTTTAAACCAGCACCTTGAATTGACCTGGAAGCACAGTGACATACAATCCAGCTCACGGAATTGCTGTGTTACACGTACCAAATAGCGGATGCTATTTACAACCCATGCTGCTGCATTCTACGCTGGTTGAGCTTCCAAATGTTCTTCAAGGGCAGCCCCATGGGCAGTGCATTGCAGTAGTCCAGACAAGGGGTCATATGGGACAGTGAGTTGGTCCAGAAATGGACGGAATGGATTAGGATTAAGGTTAACTCCCTTCCAGCCCGTTCAGTCACCCTTCGCAGCCCCATTGTTGCCGCCTACCACTCGATTGTAGAAACTCCAGCAAAACTCTCAGGACAAATGGTATCTCGGCGAATGGGCCGAGTCGAAAGGCAAGGGGTGAAAGGCCAGAGGCCCATTGGCCAGGGAGAATTGCTGGGGGTCGGCCAGCAGAGGAGGAAAGCTGGCTGTGACTGGGCTGAGGCAGGTGGCTGGAGGTGAAGGAGGTGTGGCCAAGGGTGGAATCCTGAAGGTTCTAGACCCGAAATGGATGCAGTCTCACATCAAAACCTGGGAAGGTTCTGGAAAAGATAAGCAACGGATGCGCGAACACTTAGAAACCAGAAAAGCTAGAAGCCTAGAAGCCAACGTGGGTTTGTCAAAAACAGAACCTGCTTTGTTGCATTCTGTGACAAAGTGACTAAATTAGAGGAGCGGCGAAACATTGTGGACCTTAATTTTCTTACCATTGAATTGCATTTTGTTGGCTAGGGCCCAGGGTTCAAGCCTGTCAACGTCCTTCTGGATCGGGAGCCTATCTTCTAAAGCAGATGTGGGGGACAATGTTCCCTTTATGACCTGTGGACCTCAACTCCCAGAATTACTGAGCCAGGTTGGCTTAGGAATTCTGGGAGTTGAAGTCCACAGGTCATAAAAGGGGCCATTGTCCCCCACTCCTGTTCTAAAGTGTTCACCTCAGCTTCATGTTGTCTGCAAATTTGATGAGTTCTCCTTTTATCCCCTCATCTAAATCATGGAAGTTTTCCTCTTATGGAAGAAAAATTCAATTCTGTGGTAACATATTATTTTTGGAAAACGTGGACTCCGGCGTGGAATCTTAACAACACTTTCAGTTTTCAATATTATTTCCCTGAAAAGGCCAAATTGCAACAAACTCAGTTGAAAGACTTGATTTGCACAATTCTTGGTCTCTGAAACGCTATCAATTGGCAGAAATAAATATTATTATTGCGCAACAAATTAAAATGCCAAAAACAAATGTAGACAAAAATGTAGGCAGAATAAGAGAGAATCCAGTTATTCTCTACATTAACAATTCAGGGTTTGTGATGTTGGATGTATTTCTTATGACCTGCAACTCAAATCCTTTGCTAATTCCCTTTTTCAAATCTTTGGAAATTGATTTGTTTTAAAATCCTAAAATGCCAAATGCACTATTTCTGAGACCGAGGTAGAAAGAGAGAGAGAGAGAGAGGAATTGCCATCTGGCAGAAAGTGGGAGGATCAAACATTCCCTTTGATCTCTAAATATTTGGCAGGATCTTGCTGGGTTTTCCCCAGAATTATCTTGGGGAAATTTTTTGGAGAGGATTAAAGGAATCACAGATTCTGGGCAGGAAGAGATTTTAGATCCTGAGAACAAGAGGAAGATTTCCTAGATCTGAAAACATAGAATAAATAAGGAGTAAATCTTTATAGGGCAGACTTTTAATGGGTTAAACAAAGGGGAGTCTTGGTATTCCCCTCTCCAGGATGGAATGGGACAACTTGTTGAAACCAACTCGCCGTGGCCAACTTGTTTTCAGAGACAACTCACTGCAGGACAATTCAATTCGATTATTTAAAATAATTTTAAAGATCGTTTTAATTTTTGTCATTCACATTTCATTTTGTCCCTCCTTCGGCATTCTTGGTTTAATGATTCGATTCCATCATTTCTTTGACATTACCGGTAGCATAACTCTTGTCCCGCAGTGAGTTGGCCACGGTAAATTGGCTGTAGTGAGTTGGCCATGGCAAGTTGTCAAATACCCTACCCGGGAAGCCCCTCCCTCCCGGACTCACTTCTTCGGCCAATCACAAACCCCATCTTGGCCGCCTCGTAGTTGTGTGCACAGAAGCGATCCACTTCAGCCCGCTTCATCATCAGAGTGATCTTGTTGCTGTTCCACTCCTTGGCCTCCGGCTGCCCAAACTCTGTGATGGCCACATGCTTCCCGATGTGGCTGTCGAAGCGGACAAACTCCTGCCGGTCATAGAAGTACCTGTCCAGGTAACGCACCCGCTGCCTCCCATCGAGGGGGAAAAGACAGTCAGTCTTCTCCTGGTACAAGAAATAGACTGCAAGGGGGAGGGAGGAGGAAGAGGAGGAGGAGGAGGAAGGCCATCATAATGGAGTCCAGGGACACCTGAGCAGGCCGTGTGCTGCAGCGGCCAAAAGAGCCAACAAGATCTTGGGCTGCATCCACAAAGGGACAATCAGAGGAGCCCAGGAAGGGCTGCACCAGTCAGACTGAGGCTGGAATGGGGTGTCTCGTTTGGTCTCCCCAGTGGGAAAAGGAGGCAAAGGGGCTGGAAAAGGGGCAGAGGAGGCCAGAAGCCTACAACCAGAGGCTGGGGAAAGCTGGTCTCTTTTGCCTGATGGGAGAGGAGGAGGAGGGGAAGAGGAGAGGGGGAAAAAGAGGGAGGAGGAGGAGAGGGAGGAGGAAGAGGAAAACCGAGGAAGAGAAGGAGGAGGAGGAAGACCAAGGAAGAGAAGGAGGAGGAAGAGGAGGAGAGGGAAGGGGAGGAGGAGAGGGAGGAGGAAGAGGAAGAGATGGAGGACGAGAAAAAGGAGAGGAGGGAAGAGGAGGAGAAGGGGGAAGAAGAGGAGGAGGGGAAGAGGAGGAGGAAGAAGAAGCTGAGGAGAGGGGGGAAAAGAGGGAGGAGGAGGAGAGGGAGGAGGAAGAGGGAGGAGGAGGAGAGGGAGGAGGAAGAGGAAAACCGAGGAAGAGAAGGAGGAGGAGGAAGACCAAGGAAGAGATGGAGGAGGAAGAGGAAGAGAGGGAGGACGAGAAAAAGGAGAGGAGGGAAGAGGAGGAGAAGGGGGAAGAAGAGGAGGAGGGGAAGAGGAGGAGGAAGAAGAAGCTGAGGAGAGGGGGGAGGGGGGAGGGGAAGAGGAGGGAGAGGGGGGAGGCCATCCTAATGGACTCCAGGATCCATTGCAGGGGTGCTATTCAGCAGGTTCTGGAGAACTGTTAGAAATTTTGAGTAGTTCGGAGAACCGGCAAATACCACCTCTGGCTGGCCCCAGAGTGGGGTGGGAATGGAGATTTTTCAATATCCTTCCCCCAGGAGTGGGGAGGAAATGGGAATTTTGCAGTATCCTTCCCCTGCCACGCCCACAGAATCAGTAGTGAACAAATTTGAATTCCACCACTGATCCATTGCTCCCAGCCACTACATGATCAAATAATTTTGGGGATTCACCCTGTTTTAATGCAACAAACTTTGGGAATTCCAATTCCGGGTTTAATTTAGGGCCCAGAAGATCGGACTCCAGCCCAGCCACGTGGGATGCCTTGCGAGACAGTCCCAGAGTTGCCTTCTTATGACTCCCTTCCCCACTTTGGTCACATCCAAAAAAGAGGGGGTTCACTCTCTATCTTCCGGGGAGAGGAGGGGAGGGGAGACCACATGGAGTCTGAGACTCCTGCAGGATTATGTGTCTCTTGCCCTTGACCCCTTCCTCAAAGTCACTTGCTTTCTTCCCCCACCAGCACCCCAGACCCTCTTCTCCCCCCACTGAGCCCCCTCCTTACCAGGGAGGGGGAGCTTCTTCCCTCCTTCGCTTCCAGGGTTCTGGGTCAGCACCCCCACCAGCAACAGCAGGGGGACCCCAGCATTGCCCATGGATGCTGCCCCACAACTTTCCCCCCCACGGGAGGGGAGACCAAGATGCGCTCAATCTCAGAGGCTGAATCGGTGGGTCTGAATTGGGGACGGAAATGTTTTTTTCCTCTTAAAATTGGCGGAAGAAGCAGAAGGACCAATGGGAAATCTCCGTTCTGCAGCGTCATCAGTCTCCAAGCAGGGTCTCTCTTGACTTCACCCTGTGGAGGAGATAGTTCATGGCAGAGAGAAACGGAGGAAGTGGGAGATCCTTGCAGTCTTGAAGGGAGGAGCTGCACCTTAACGGGGCGTCCCTGCCAGCCCCAGAGGGGATCCTCCCTTCCTTTGGTCTCTTCACTTAGCCAGATCTCTTTTTCTTTCTGGACTAGATGTCCTTTTAGGCTTGCTTAAGCCCCCCTGCGCACCCCCTAAACCCAGATTGGGAATGCAGGGACTGCATGGAGGGAGGAGGAGGAGGGGAAAAGGGGGAGGGAGGAGGAGGAGGGGAGGAGGCGGCGATGGAGAAGGAGGGGGGAGGAGAGAGAGAGGGGGAGGAGAGAAGGACAGGGGGAGGAGGAGGCCTTGGAAAAGGTGGGGGGAAGGATTAGGAGGGACATGGTGACCTCTTCCCACACAGGCAGGGATCTCTCAGGGCAGGAGGGGAGTGGATTTATTCTTCAGGCAAAACTACAAGCAATGGGTGGAAGTTTTTTTTTTTTTTAAAAAATTATTTAGACTTCTATACCCTTCATAGTGCTTTACAGCCCTCTCTAAGCGGTTTACAAAGTTAGCATATAGCATATTGCATATTAGCATATTGCATTAGCATTAGCATATTGCCCCCAACAATCTGGGTCCTCATTTTACCCACCTCGAAAGGATGGAAGGCTGAGTCAACCTTGAGCCGGTGAGATTTGATCTGCTGAACTAGCAGTCAGCTGAAGTAGCTGCAGTACTGCACTCTAACCACTGTGCCACCTCGGCTCTTCCACAGGAAGCTCGGAAGTTCCACAGGAAGCCATCCAAAGTTGAGCTAAGGAGGAATTTTCTGCCTGGGAGAGTGGTGAAGCAGGGGAACAGCTGGAGGGCCAGGGGTGCTACCACGCAGGGGACAAAGTGACAGAAGGAATAACCTCAAGGAAGAGCCGCCCCAAGACAAGGGTCAGGGAAGAGGCACATGAGTCTGGGCCAGATCGGTACTCTGAGAAAATGATGGTCTCTGAGCTTGGCTGTTTGGGTGCTGAAACGCACCCAAACTAAGAAACATCTAGTAAAACCAGGAAACATCTAATACCAGCACTGATGATGTTCCCTAGCTGGGTCATGAAACATTTGCAAGAAAACCACCCAGCTCAGAGAGCACCAAGGACCGGACAGTTCAACCGTGAGCTACAAAGATTCTCCTTTATTGGTTCTCATGACGACAAAGGGAGGGAGGGGGAAGCGCATTCAGACATGCAGGATTCTTTTCCTGCGACTTGATAATAAATCCAGATTAGCCTGCATGACTCAGTTTCCTTGTCTGGTCTACCTGGAAGGGCTGACACTTGTCTTCTGCTCTCCTGAACATCTCATCGTCCCTTCTCTCCCCTGAACACTTCCAGAGGAGCATATATACAGCATAAAGAATAAATACTTATTGCAATAGATATATTTACTGTACATATCTGGCATTTTATTCTTTATACGGTTTACATACAGAATAAAAAATACTTATAGATGTATTTATATATCTGGCATTTTATCCCGTATACGGTTTATATACAGCATAAATAATAAACACTTTAGATATATGTACATATCTTGTATTTTATTATGTGTACTGTTTATATATAGTATAAAAAAAGTAAATAATTTATATATCCAGCATAAAGAATAAATACATATATTTTCTGTACATATCTGGCATGTTATTCTTGATACTGTTTATATACAGAATAAAGAATGATCCTAGAAGTACGAAGCCGAAAACACCAGTCTGAAGATGACGAATGAGACTTTGTCGAAACGTCGCCAAGACACTTCCAATTTTACGCGGGAGAAAACCCGAATAACCAAAGACCTACAATAAAGAATACTTATAGATATGTTTATATATCTGGCATTTTATCCCGTATAGTTTATATACAGCATAAAGAATAAATACTTTACATATATTTACATATCTGGTATTTTATCCTGTAATATGGTTCATATACAGCATAAATAATAAATAATCATATCGATATATTGATATATGTGGTATTTTAATTTTTATACGGTTTATATACAGTATAAAGAAGAAATAGTTATAGATATATTTATAAATCTGGTGTTTTATTCTTTATAATGCTTCTATCTTCCCTTAACATATTAAGAGAATATGAGTCTCCTGCAGGCACCGGCCTCCTCAAAGCTTCCTTCGCTTTCAAAGACTCCCAATTTCTCGCCCATCCAGAAAAAAAAATAAAATAAAACCGAAAATGCAAATAGGGCTCTTTGCAGAAACGAAACAAAGCCCCCGAAAGGCTCGCGGGCTCTGCGAGGGCGGGGCTGTCAGGTCACGAGGCCGTTGCAGCAGCGGCCCCGCCTACGCGGTAATCTATCGCGTTGCCACCGCCCGCCCGCCATCTTGAGACCGGGCGGAAGTGGCTCCGCGGTGGCGTCCGCTACTTCCGGTTTGCTGGGTTTTTTTTTTTCTTCCCCTCCCCTTCCCCTCCCCCTCCCGCGAGGTGAGAGCGGCGACCGGTATCCGAGGGGACGGGGCGGTTGGCGGGTGTCGCGCGGTTCCGAGGTGAGACTGCCGTTCCCATCGTCCCCGGCGAAGCGGGGGCTTCCCTTCCCTTGCCGGGGGACCCTCAGAAGGACTTTGAAGGGGCCCCCGTCTAGCTGCAGGACTACACAGTCCATTATCCCCAGGCAGGCGGGGGCGGGCGACGGTTAACGGGCTGCATCTCCCATCATCCTGGCCGGCTGAGCTCCGTCTGTCTCGGCTGGTAGAAAAAAGAAGAGCCTCTCCCTTTCCAGAGGGGCTGGACTACAAGTCCCATCCTCCCCAAGAAACGCAGGCGCTCCCTCCCCTTGGCTGGGGGTGGGGGAAGGAGTTGCCCTTTGGGGGCTACATCATCCCTCCCCCCCGGGCTGTGGAGCATGGGCCCATGCCCTTCTGGAGGCTCAGCTATACTTATGGCAGTTTCCAAAAAAAAAAAAAAAAAAATCTGCCAAATTTATTATTTTGTAGAGATGATGTGGAATTTATTATTTTTATTTATACACATACAAAAGTGTGTGTATGTGTGCACATGTATATATATATGTGTGTGTGTGTGTGTGTATGTTATATGTATACCAGTATTTCTCTCTATCAATTTAGCTCTCATCTCATCTCACCCTTCCTTTTTTAAGTGTTTTAATTGTTTTGTTTATCGTTTTTAATTAATGGGGCCAAATTTATATATATATTTTTAACTGTATTTTAATATTTGTATTTGAGGTTTTTACTTGGCTGTTCACCGCCCTGAGTCCTCAGGGAGAAGGGCGGTATACAAATTCAAAATAAAATAAAATAATAAATAAAAATCTCATTCTATTATCTATTTATCTATATCTATCTATCTATCTATCTATCTATCTATCTATCTATCTATCTATCTATCTATCTCTATTACCTCTATCTTTTATCAATTTATTATCTATTATCTCTATCATCTCTATTATCTATCTCTATTATCTCTATCTTTTATCAATCCATTATCTCTATTATCTCTATTATCTCTACTATCTATTATCTCTATTATCATCTCTATTATCTATCTCTATTATCTCTATCTTTTATCAATCCATTATCTCTATTATCTCTACTATCTATTATCTCTTCTATCTATATCTAACTCTACTATCTATCTATTATCTCTACTATCTATCTATCCATACACACACACACATACATAGGTAGTCTTCGACTTACGACCACAATTGAGCTCAGAATTTACATTGCTAAGTGAGAAATTTGTGAAGTGAGTTTTGTCCCATTTTTACCATTTTCCTTGCCATAGTTAAGTGAATCACCGCAGTTGTTAAATTAGTAAACACGGGACTGTTAAGTGAATCTGGCTTCCCCGTCGTCTTTGCTTGTCAGAAGGTCGCAAAAGGGGGAAATCACATCACATTTCGTTTCTCATCCAAGAAACTTCAGTTGTGATGGGCTGGGCTGGGCTGGGCTGGGCTGGGGATCCAGTCAGACGCTGCGACCGTCATAAATGTGAACCCGTTGTAAATCATGTGACCATGGGGATGCTGCAACGGTGATAAGCGGTCATGTCACTTTTTCAGTGCCATTGTAACTTCAAACAGTCACTAAATGAACTGTTGTAAGTCGAGGACAATCTATACTGTGAACCTGCTGGGAAGGAAGCACCTCTGGATGTAATATTCAATGTAACCAGATGATTGACGTTCTTCTGTTCTTTGTTCCAGCGTGAGAGAGAAACAAGAGGAGCCTCGGCACATGCAAGGAGAGAAAGACACAATGGGTGAAGCTCTGCAGAAGAAGCTACAGGGGGAGCTAGAGAAATATCAGCAGCTGCAGAAAGGTCAGGACCTTCTCCGGGCCCTGCGGGGTCTTCCCATTCCTTCCAGTCACTCCTGGCCATTCTGCAGGATCCTGCTCTCTGGAGATGGCAGCCGTTTTAGAAATACAGTTTTTAAAACGGCCACCCAGTCGGGGCCCAGGCAGATATGTTGAACCGCAGCGCCCATCTTCCCCAGCCAGTAGCCCACCAGCCTGGCTGCATGAAAACAGTAGGAGCCATAGTCCCACACTTGGTGTGGCCACCAAACATCTACTCACAGCTTGTTAAGGTGGGTCTACAATGGCTGGTGAGGCTATCTGGATTCCCACTAGCGCCTTCTCGCCCTCATCTCCCCATGGCATCTTTGCCCTTTAGCACCCGCCTCTCAGAGTGCTGGAGCATGGTTCCACTTAACCTTCTGGGTGGCTCCCCCAAACCAGCCACAGCCTATCTTGCATCCGGGAGAGCTGGTGCAGAAGACAGAAGGAAGCAATGTTGTGACTCCCCCACAGAAGGATCCCCCTGGGTCCCCCTGCTGACTGTGTGGATGGCCTCGGGCCCTGAGTGCTCTTCTCCATCTGAGAGGTTGAGCTTTTCAGCAGTATTGGGGGGCCACAGAACTCTGTCCCTCTCCTCTGGACCTGAGGGGGTATGGCCGCTGGAAACAGACTCAGGAAGCCAAGAAGGTTCCAGGTAAAGGACCCTAACCACAAGGGGGGTGTCTCTTCTCTTCACCTCCTCACAGAAATGAGCAAATGCATGACAGCCCGTCAGAAGCTGGAGGCTCAGTTGACAGAGAACCATGTGGTGAAGGAGGTGAGGTCAGGGCTGGTCCTCCCCTTCCCTCCCCTCCCCTCCCCTGGGCTCCCTTTCGGCAACAGCCCTCCCCCTCCTTCTCCTTTTCCCCCTCCAGGAATTGGACCTGCTAGACTCCTCTAACTCTGTCTACAAGCTCATCGGGCCAGTGCTGGTGAAGCAGGACACGGAGGAAGCCAAAGCAACCGTGGGAAAGAGGCTGGAGTACATCACAGGGGAGATGTAAGTGGGTGGGGGTTCCAGGGTAGGGCCTCCAGCTCCCAAGACAGTCTACCTCAGGGTCCCCACAGCTCTTCTGGAGCTTCTCCCCGTGCTCAGGCGCTGACCGGCCCAATTTTCTCTCTGCAGCAAACGCTACGAGGTTCAGATTCAGGACTACGAGCGGAAGTCAGAGCAACATCGGGAGGCCCTGGGCCGACTGCAGCAGGAGTTCCAGCGGACCCAGGGCAAGGTGTCTGTCAAGACCTGAAGGGGCAGCGCGGAGGGAAGGGTGGGCCGGCTGGCCCCCAGGCCTGCCATTCGGGCCTTTTGGATCCCTTCGAATAAAATTCTGTTGGACCTTTTGTGCGCCTCATCTTTTGCACTGGGTCTTGGGGAGGGTCCAGAATTCCTGGAGGAAGATGCCCAGTGAGGGGAAGGCATCCAAAGGTGGGTGCAGTTGAGGTGCTTGGGTAAGTGAGCTCAACCATGCGAAAAATCTATGTATTTTATTGTTTGGCTGTTCACCGCCCTGAGTCCTTTGGGAGTAGGTCGGTATACAAATCAAATAAACTAAACTAAACTAAACTAAAAAGACATGACAAATCTTCCAGACATGAAGACAACGTTTCTGTGACTTCAGACGAGGAGGGACAAAACCTGAGCATCTGTGAGCATCTTTGCCTGACTGGGGTACAGACCGTATTCCTCTTGGAACCTCTAATTCAGTGGTACCCAACCTTTCCAGCTTGGTAGCTTGGTCCAGCGTAGGGTGGTATGTTAGTAGCAGATGGACGCATGCGGGTGCAGCTTCATCTGTGTGAGCGACAGGTCTGGATGGACCTGCACTTGGGAAAGGAAAATGGAGAAGCATTTGTGCTTGCGCATGAACCTCTACTTGCGTGAGTGGAGGGCGCTTGCACGCTAAGCTCCATTCACACGAGTACAGGGCATGCAAGCGCCTGCCACTCCCCCCTCAGGTCGGGCCGCCAAATCATTTTTCTGTGCCGTTACTTTGAACGGTCACTAAGCAAACTTGTAAGTCGAGGAGTACCTGTATTCTTCCCCCTCCTGAGGATACAGCCCCTCCTTTGTTTCAATGTTCCATTTCCCCAGGGAGAGACTTGCGTGCCCTGCCACCAGTTGGGTTGAAGCACTTAGCCAAGCCTGAAGACCACCAGATCCAGATCCTCTGCACATACTAGCCATTCTGAGATTTCCCCCCCCCCCACCGTCCCACATTCCTGACAGGTGATCTCAGGGATCCATTGCTGTCTGCCCAAGAAAGCTCCAATCTCTTCCCTGCTTTGGATCCCCCCACGTTTCTCCATCCCTTCACCCAGCTTTGGTTCCACAGGAGCTTCATCTCCGTGGCTGTTCTTCTTGGAGTCAACCCCCATGGCTTTTATTTGCTCTACTAAAGGATAGAAGAATAAAACTTGAAAGTGCTGCAAGTATACATTTCGCCCTTAGTGAACGTGTATTTTAACGAGTTCCTAAGCTCAGTCACTCAGCGATCAGGAATGGCTTCTTTTAAAAGGAAGGGCAGAAAGACAAAGAGACGCTGATTTTTGCTTTCCCCGGGTTTAATTTCGCCCCTCCGGAGAAAAAAGGGTGAAAGGCAGATGCCGGTTCAAGGCTGCGGGAGAAAGGCTCTAGTGGAACTAACAACCCCTCGGCGCTTCTACGCTTCCTTTAGCAAAAATTCGGAAGAGCTCCCGTAAGACAACCACACGCTTGGCTATCTCGCGCCCATCTGAGCGTCGCGCATGCTCAGTAGCGCTCCGAGCGAGCTAGGCTGTCCTTCCCGACTTGGCTTAGTAGCCTATAGGCTGTAGGCGTTGTGCTGGGGGTGGAACATAGATGGAGAGAAAGACCACCGGGTCACGTGATCCTGGGGAGCCAATGGCAGGCGAGAAGCGCCTGTCAGGTTTTGGCGGGAAACGGGAGTCTCGGAATCGCCTCAGCCGCTTCTCTGCTGGGCATGAATCTCCCTCCTCTCTCTGAGGAAAGACATACACAAACATACACTAACCACTCTCTCTCTCACACACACATACAGACACAAACTCCAACCGAGGAGAGGCAACCCTGAGCTTGAGGCCCCAAAGAGAGAGAGAGCAGCTTTGACAGAAGTGATCCTCTGGTGATCTCCTTGGTCCCCTAAAGGGGAACTCTGGGGCCTTGTTTCCCCTCAAGACCATGGAAAGCCTTTGGCAGCTTCCCCATGAGGACATAGGATCTCCTGATGGTCTCCCAACCTGGTCTCCACAAAGCTGAAATTTCTCAGCTTCTTCCCTCCAGGCAGAGGGTGGAAAAAAGGGCCATAAAATAATCTGACTCTGTGGAAGAGGTGGATGCCCTGACTCAGCCCCAAGGAGAGAAGTTTGTTTCCTCTGGTGTGAGTAGCCAATAATCACAGAGGTGGGAAGGAATATACTTAAAACTTTTATTTCTGTAACAAGAGGGGGGGAAAATCCACACTGGGGACTAGAGGAACAAACCAAGGAATCTCTGGTGGGCCCTCATACCAACAAGTTTATAAACCTCACAGATCTCAGATTATACTAGCAGTTTTAATTGGTTCAAGGCATCCCATAGGAAGTCATGATTTTGGGCCAGTTTTGCTTGGTCTCTGGGCACATTTCCACATAGGGGATGTCTAAGTGAGTATTCTAAACTTTATTTGGTCTTTTCTACTTGCAGTGGTTCTAGCAGCTTCTCATGGCTTCTCTTTTTAACAGAGTGCCATCCACCTGATTGTCTTGGCTACAGTGGCAGTGGAGCATTGTTGGAAAATCTGAAGGAGCCAGTTGGGGATAGATTATCTTGGGCAAAATCTCTACAGGTAATCCTCATTTTACAACCGTTTATTTGTGACCTTTCAAAGTTGTGACGGCACTCAAAAAAGTGACACTGTCGATCTTCACACTTACAACCACAGCATGATTGCAATTTAGGGTGCTTGACAGCTGGCATGTATTTACAAGAGTTGCAGCAGCATCCTGGGGTTGTGTGTGCTTACCTTTTGTGACTTTCCCAGCCAGCCAGTCAATGGGAGAAGCCGGATTCACTTAACAACTGAGGCAAAAAAGGTCAACATTTGCAGTTACTCGCTTAGTGACCAACTGCTTTGCAGTGAAAGTTCCAATCCAATTGTAGTAAGCCAAGGACTACCTGTCTCTATAGTCACAAGAGCTGACCCTGATTTCAGGGCACAATAATCAAACATTAAATTAGCCAGCTTCTCATAAGTAAAGTCAATGTGGAAGCTTCAAGAAATCACATACTGCAATAATTTCACATTGTGCTTTATGATCACAGGGGATTTGATTAATAATTACAAGTGGAATTGACCACCTGATGTAAGACCAGCACAGTCGTTAAGATGTTTCAATTTATGACTACTGGCTTAATATTGTCAGTAAGCGAGGGTTACCTGTATATACTTACTTAAAACTTTAAACATTTATATAGATGCCAATCTTAAAACAACTTATAGCCAATAAAACAATATAAAAGCAAACAGCAAAAAAAAAGTGCCTCAGCCTCACTTCTCTAAGTGAGCACCCATTTTAAAGGCTCTGGAAGGATAAAAGAAGCAGAGGCAATCAGATCTTGGAGACTGTGTTCCATAGGGCAGACTCTGAAACAGAAATGGCAGCTTCTGAGGATCCTCAAGATGGCAATATTTAAGAGAAGGGACAACCCTATTGTTCCAGTGGAACAGGAAAATAGCAATAGCACTTAAGACTTACATACCACTCTATAGTGCTTTAGAGCACCCTCTGAGTAATTTACAACATCAGACAGATATCCTCAGGGAAAGTTAGTCCTGCAGATATATAGTCCTGCACATCAAGTGTTTTAACATGAATCAGTTCGCAATTCTTGACTAAAGTTCTGCCTGCATTCCATGTTTTTATAACGTTTCATATCATAGTGGATCCGTTTACATGAATTAAAGACACTTCAGTCACTAAAGGCATCTCCTCCACATGGGTCCTTTTATGGGAAGTAAGTTGATTGCTCCACATGAAATTCTTTCCACACAACATGCATGCATATTTTTTCTCCCCTGTGTGGATTCTTTCATGACAAATAAGAGTCCTGTTTTCAGAAAAACTCTTTCCACATTCCATACATTTATAAGGTTTCAACCCTGTGTGGATCTTTTTATGGGAATTTAGGTGACTTTTCAACCTGAAGCTCTTCCCACACTCTGTGCACTGATATAGTTTCTTCCCTGTGTGGATACTAATGTGGTAAGTAAGAGAGCTGCTTGTACTAAAGCTCTTCCCACATTGATTGCATATATAAGGTTTGAATCCTGAGTGGATTCTTCTATGGCAAGTAAGGGAACTGCTTCGACTGAAGCTCTTTCCACAGTCCACACATTTATACGGTTTCTCTCCTGTGTGGACTCTTTTATGGGAGGTAAGGGAACCACTATGACTGAAGCTCTTTCCACACTCCAGACATTTATAGGGTTTCTCTCCTGTGTGAATCCTCCTATGAGACATCAGGTGGCCACGGCCATGAAAGGTCTTTCCACAGTCCGCGCATGTATAAGGTTTTTCCCCTGAATGGATCCTTTTGTGGGAAGTAAGGACACTGCTCTTGCTGAAGCTCTTCCCACACTCCATGCATTGAAAGGGTTTCTCTCCTGTATGGATCCTTTTATGGGAAGTCAGGTAACAGCTTTTGCTGAAGTTTTTACCACACTCTATGCATTTATATGGCTTCTCTCCTGTATGGATCCTTCTATGAGAAGTTAGGGAACTGTTCAAACTGAAGCATTTCCCACAATCTATGCATTTGTAGGGTTTCTCTCCTGTGTGCATCCTTCTGTGGGCAGTAAGGACGCTGCTTTTGCTAAAGCTCTTCCCACACTCAATGCATTCATAGGGTTTCTCTCCTGTATGGATCCTTTTATGATAATTAATAGAACTATTCGAACTGAAGCTTTTTCCACAGTCCATGCACTTATATGGTTTTTCCCCTGTATGGATCCTTTTATGGGAAGTAAGGTCACTGCTTTGTATGAAGCTCTTCCCACACTCTAGGCATTCATAGGGTTTTTCTCCCCTATGGATCCTTTCATGATAAGTAAGGGAACTATTTGAACCGAATCCTTTTCCACAGTCTGTGCATTTATAAGGCTTTTTCCCTGAATGGATCGTCTTACGGTAGTTAAGATTACTAGAACATCGAAAGTTGTTTCCAGAGTCCACACATTTATAAGGTTTCTCTCCTGTATGGATAATTTTATGAGGAATAATGTCACTGTTATTGCTGAGGTGGTAATTACTGAAATTGGGTTTTGCTTGGTATATTTCCCCACTTCCTTGATTGTTTCCCATCCCATTTTCCTTAGAAACATTTGGAGTCAGGAGATAATCCATTTCCATACATTCAAGAGTGGAGTTTTCTCTCCAGTTGTAGCACTGGTTTTCCTCATTTTGCCTTCTTCCAAAAGTATCAGTAGATGTCTCTTCTTTTATTTCAATCTTGATTACTTCTGGCACCACACTTGGCTCTTGGTAATCTTCATTCTCCTGATCATCAACTGTTTGTTGAGGAAAAGAATAATTAGAAAATCCGATTAGAAAAGCAAGAAATTAAGGATGTCACCAGGGATCAAGTCTCATTATTTGCAGAACCTCTTTCAATACTTCTAATGCAACAAACATACAACTTGTTGTTCCCAGCCTGCATCTGCAGAGAAAGCAATAGGAAAATGACAGCATGATTGTTATTACTTCTTTAAAAATTGCATATATGATGGAATGTTCATCTGGAAAACAGGTTGTTTTGGTAACCCAGATCTTTCACAGAAAAAAGTTCAGATCAAGACACTGCGTAGTCCCAAGCTGGACTAAGAAGGGGGGAAGAGGTTCAGGGTCTCTAGAATTTCTCAGGATATACCGGTATCTAGTAAGTGACTAGGCTATAGTTTTTGTTTGGCAAGATTCTATTAGGTGTAAGCAAATAAACAATTCAATTGGGATTTGACCATGTCATCTCGACTTGGTCCGACAACATAGTTGGTCATGTTTCATTCTTGTCAGTGAACAGCAACTTTAAAAAAAGGACACACAAATTAAATAACAAGCAATGCAGTGTTCTGCAGCCCAGGTCTTGACATCATGATGTGGTGTATGAACTTGTGTCACATGTGCTGTAGCTTAGTTGCATCCAATGCCACAATATACATATTATGGCAATCATTTTAACAAGATCTGGACGAATCTCCTAAGCTGTAAATAAACTGTCTAGTGACTCCTTGCTTTGGCTTAATTCTAAAGGAACCCTTACCTAAAGAGGCCACAATCCCACATGTCTCCAACATGACTTCTCGGTGCGAGGCTTTTTCATTGGGGTCCAGCAGCAACCACTCTTCACTGGTGAAATATATGGCTACCTCGTCAAAGGACACAGGACTCTGAAAGAGAAAGAATCCCTATGAGCAGACTCAGTCAGCGCATTTCGGGTCTCAGTTGTCAACGTTTCAACTGACGAACCCAACCAAAGCAGCCACAGTCGAGACAATTCAAGTTCTTAATGCAAAACTTTATTGAATATATCATTTTGGCATTAATGAGGGCAAAACCAGATCTAGCATGCAAACCAGATCACATGCAAACCTATATAATATCAAAGTATAGGATTCTCCTCCCCCCCCCATTAGTGCAGCTCACATTGTTCCATTGAGTCTCATTGTATTGTTATGAGAAAAAGTTTTGGGGTTTGGCAAACACCTGCTGAAGTGTCCTTGCCTCTCACACTCATCTTCTTGATATCTGGAGCCTACATTCCATCTCCCACTTCTAGTGGTGGGTTCCTCCCGGTTCGGCCCAGTTCCACCGAGCCGGTAGCGGTGACGATATGACATCACCGAACTGGTTCTGCCCGCCCCCCCCGCGTTATTCTTACCTTTTATTTGGCCCAACCCCCAATCTATTGCTGCCTCCTGAGTCCCAACTGATGACTAGAGGGAAAAAAACTGTTTAAACTCTTGCTGAGGGGCTTCAAAGGGCCGCCCTACAGCTGATCAGTGTTAAAAGAAAACAAATGAGTAGACCGGTGCCTGCAAAAATAAATCGGTAGACCAGTGCCTGCAAAAATACATGAGTAGACCGGTGCCTGCAAAAATAAATGGGTAGACCAGTGCCTGCAAAAATAAATGGGTAGATCGGTACAGCTCTTCAAGCAGTTAAAAGCCTGGTAGACCAGTACCTCTGTTAAATCCTAAATAATTGTCACATGACCATCAAGCCACAACCACAAAATAAGCCACGCCCACAGAACCGGTAGTAAAAAAAATTTAGAACCCACTCCTGCCCACTTCCCTCCCCCTGGTTCATTAGCAAGCTGAGAAGCAATAATGGTTGCAACAGCAAAAGCGCACTTCGAATCTTGACAGCAATATGCTGTGCTGAGACCTCAAATGAAAATGGAGGTCTTCCACTGCTTCCCCAAATTAGCCCCTGATTTTTTCTCTCCTACCTGAGCTAGAGGTCCAGCTGCTCTTTCAGCTTCACCAATACAAGGAGATGATCCAGTGAACAATCGTGACTCCATTTTGGTCCCTGGGAAGGAAAGAGATAAGCAGGAAAAAGATTAACTCTATCTCTTTTGGTCTGAAGGCACAAGATGGTCTGGCAGGGATATGTATTAGAATTTAATCTAAATTATTAAGAAAGGTCAAAGACAGGTTGCTCCTTTCCCTGTCTCTCAGGACAAAGAAAAATATGTTGGGATGAAGGAGTAAGAATACCACCAAAGTGATCCCCAGAAGAACCAGTCTTCTGCAAATGGGGAATCATGGGAAGGTAGTGTATGGACTGAAGGAGGGACTTCCTTCATGGGACTTAAGCCTTCTAGCTTAAAGTAGGAGAATTAAGTCTTTCTTGTTGAGTCACCTTCTAGTAACTCTAACAATTAGACACGAGAGAAGATACGCAGAATTAAGAAAAACTGGAACATCTCTCAAAAACCTCCAGCCATGCCGAAAGAGCATCACCTGGTGAACCATCCTGGTGTTTACCTTCCTGCTTGGAGATAGCCCTGCAACACCACGGATCTTTCTGAACCACCATTTCCTCAGGATAATAAGTACCCACTTCCAGGAAAGACCTTGGAACCTGAAAAATACAGGCAAGGAAGAGGAGTTAAGAACGGGATATAACTGAACCTGGATTTTAATTTTGTGCCCACAATATTGCAAGACTTGTGTGTCTATTATTGAGGACAATAGAAGTGATGGTCTACATATGTCCTCTGGGAGAACACAGGAACAATTCCTCTAATGGAATTCTCTAAACATTTTCTTGTATTACTAATCCCAACAACACTCTTAGGCAGATAATTAAGAATTCAAGCAGATTAAAATCCATCTATTTTTCCTAAGAGGAGTGTCTCTCACCTGGCACCTTCCCTGTTCCCCCTCTTCCGCTTGGCTTAGCAGGAAACCTTCGGCCAGGGCCACCGCCTGGCAACTGGTCTCTGCTTGGCATTCCCGTACCCAGCGCTGCATCTCCCTGGGCAGGACGGCCAGAAACTGCTCCAAGATCACCTGGTCCAATATCTGAGCCTTGGTGTGCTTTTCTGGCTGCAACCATCCCCAGCAAAAGCGGTGAAGGCGGCTGCAAAGCTCTCGTGGTCCTTCAGCCTCCTGAAAGGGGCTGTTCCTGAAGCACCAATGTTGCATCTCAGAACTAATAGCTTCCTCCAGGATCTTCTGTTGGGCTCCTGCCCAGACTTCCCCACAGTTCCCAAACTGAGCAACAGAAGGGCTTTTTCCTACTCTCTCCCAGGCTGGCTGGTTTGCATCCATTTCCAGTCTTCTGTGACAGGAATATACAAGGGCCTTGAAATCTTCTGGATCTCCAAAGGACTTTTCAGACCTGGGATCTGAATGAGTTGCACAGCGAGGCCAGGAGAAGTTTTTCAAGCCATTCAGCCCTCAAATGGTCTCCAACTATTACATCTAAATTGAAAAACTCAGGTGATTACACAGAACATTCTCATTGAGAAACTGGTCATTTAATCTAAATCAGAGCAACTGACTCTGGAGTGGAGCAAAGTTGATGTTTTATTAATTGATTTTGGTGCAGGCTACACCTCAGAAGAACCGTGAAGAATGTATTTTAAATATAATTGGCTTGGAAAGGCTTAAAATTAAAATTGGAAAGAAATGAATCTCTAGGACTTAAACCCTAACAATAACCAATAAACCCCACAATAACCAATCAGACAACAAAAAAACCAAGAAAGGAAATGGAGAGAAGGAAGGTGAACTTAGGTATAAAACACCAGTAGGGAGCAAATGAACGGTCAGCCATAAAGCACTTAGATGCCTATATACTACTGCTCAAAGTAATGGAGAACAAATGAAGTGAACTTGAAATCCAATACATGAGAACAGGTACCATGTTGCCATTATAGAAACTTGGCGGGATAGAACTCATGATTAGAACTACAACTAGAAGGATATAAATTGTTTTTAAAAAAACCCAGAACCAACAAATAGGGAAAATTGCATTGTATGTGAGGAATCACTCTACCTCTACAGAAATACACAACACCAAGGATGAAAGCATCTTGAATACATTCTGGAGAAAATTAGAGGAAAAAGAAATAACATTATGACAGACACTTAAACATGAGCCAGGCGTGTGTGGCCGCAGCCAAAAAAGCTAATAAAATCCTTGGTTGTGTAAACAAAGGCATAGAATCAAAATCACATGAAGTATTAGTATTGCTTATAAAGCCTTAGTAAGGCCACAGGTGGAATACTGTATCCAGTTTTGGTCACCACAATAAAGTTGTTTAGACTTTGGAAAAAGTGCAAAGAAGAGCAACTAAGATTATTAGTTGCCTGCAGTAATAGGCAGTAATTAGCTCAACAGTAGTAACTGTGAGGTGGATCTAGGTGTTAAGTGTGGATCACCACTTATGAACTAGCAGTGTGCTGCAGCTACTGAAAAAGCAAATATAGTTCTAGTCTGCATCACCAGAGGGATAGCATCAAGATAAAAGGAAGTCAAAGTACTGCACTGACTTAATGAGATCTCACTTTGAATACGGAGTCCAGTTCTGGTTGCCACAATACAAAAAATTATGCTGAGACCTAGAAAGAGTTCAGATAATAGCAATTGACAAGGGGTCTGCATAAAGGTGGGGGGAGGGTATGATAACTGTCTTTCAGTGCATGAGGAGCTGCTACAGAGAAGGGGTGGACTTATTCTCCAAAACTCCTGTGGATAGGACAAGAAGCAATGGATGGGAGCTTGTTAAACAGAGATTCAACCTGGAACTAAGCAGACATTTCCTGAAAGTGAGAACCATTAATCAATGGAATAGCTTGCTTCCTGGAGTTGTGGGTACTTCAGCACAGGAGGTTTTCAAGAAAAGATTGGATAATTATTTGTCGGAGTTGATATAAGGTCTCCTGCCATTGGGCAGGGAGTTGGATTAGAAGACCTTCAAGGTCCCTTCCAGACCTGTGAGTCTATTCTATTCTTAAGAGATGTTTTAGCACAGCGGCAATGAACCTCCTCTCTCCCTCAGCCTCTCTCCGCCCCCGCCCCCCCCCCGTTGGAGACCAATCCTAATTTTGGGGAGGGTCTTCCGCGGAGGTGTAGCTGAGTTCCACTAACAGAAAAAAATTACAGCACCGCCAACGTTTACATTTGAGGCACAGAATTGGTCCTTTTCACACAACCCCCTCCCCCCCCCAAAAAAAAGCTTGAAATGGGACCGTTTGCAGAGAATGGAGGAGTGCCAGGCAGGAAAGCCCCTTTCCCGGATTCTTTTTTCGCTACAAATCTGTGAAGCAAAATATATGAACAAGTGGTGCTTTAAGCTTCCTCCCCCTTCCCCAGCAACTCTTCCCCTCCCTCCCTCCCCTCCCTCCCTTCTCAGTACGGTATATCTTATAATGCACAGCCAGGAGCAAGAATGGGGGGGGAGGTTCTCCCTCTCCTTACCAGCCTCGAAATTCGGAGTCCAGCAAATCTTTTTGGGGAACCCGGGGGTCCCCCTCTTCACCACTGGCTCCGGAAGAGTTTGCTTCCTCTCTTCCCTGCAAGAAACGGTCGAGGATGCTCTGCCGAGGGGTGGAAAGGGGGCAATTTCCCCCCACCTCCCCGTGGGAAGCCCCCTTGCCCGCTCCCCAAGATTCTGGGGGCAACTCACTGCCGGTTCTCCTTAGCCAGGCAGACGCCAGTGCATGCGCAGTGGCGCTCGGTGAGTCGGCAGAGATGGCAAGCGACCGGCCCTCTAGCGGTGAGATCGTGTAACGACCTGAAAAGCTGCGCGGACCAATGTCTGCTTGGTCCTCCCGCCTCTTTTTGAGACGGTGGCATTTCCGATGGCATTCATTCATGCGGGGAGGCGTTGCACGAAAGGGTTGAATAGTTAGCACCAGTGTAGCTTGGTGCTCCGTTCTTCCCAGGGAACCATCTAGATTCTAGTCCAACCCCTGCTCACTACATGGATGTATAGAGTAGAGTAGAATGCAACAGAACAGTAACTTTGTTACTTTGAATGTATGCTAATTGGCATATATTAAAATGAAATTTCGATGCATACAGCTTTCAAAGGGTCACCATCTCCAATATGCATGACAAAATAAATAAATACAAAATTATGTATATGCCCACATATGACACAAACAACACAGGCATTTGCCCTATGGCTCTACCATCTGGTTGAAGACTCTTGCAAGAGACCTCCGTGTTTCAAGTGGTGGGCTGTTCCCTTGCCCTGCAGCCTTTTCTGCTCAGGAAATTTTTCCTGACAACCTGCCTGCAAGCTTCCTTGGTCTTTTCATCTAATGGTCTTTGTCCTGCAGAGAGAATTGGTCCCCTTTTGATCTGTGGGACACATTTTCTCTGTCCCATTTGTGTGCCAAATGCCACCTATAGGTGCAGAGAGATCGACCTCAGCCAAGAGGTGTCGCGTAGAAGCCACCTGGACATCACAGGCTGGATCTCATACAATTTTGGGCATCATCGGCTAGAAGTATGGGATTTTCACATCTCAGCAATCGTTGCCACTCCTAAGCTTTGCTTCTATCAAAACCCACCTGCCTCCTCTTCAGGACACCCTGGCTGCAGACAATTTGGGTAGCTTCTGCTCCAAAGGCTTCCCCCGCAAGAGGAAGACTTTGCCCAGAGACAGATGACAAGGCAGAAGGGAAGATTCCCATTAGTGTTTTCTCCAAAGTACCCTCCCTGGCCAGACCCCCACCCACCCAATTCTACTTCTGAGATTGGAAGCATCTGGGTGTCTCCTCTCTTGGGGGGAGCATCCATGGGCTGTGTTAAGGTCGCCTGTTCCTACTGGTGCGGGCACTGTCCAGGGTCCCTAGAAGGGGATAAGGAGCCCCAATCAGTTAAGGAGGGAGTGGTGGGAGACCATTGATGTTGGTGGGGTGGGTAGGAGACTGAAATCCCTAGGGGAGATGTTGGAGAAAAGGCTGCAGGGCAAGGGAGGTGGGGGCATGTGAGACTCCTCCCCTTCTGGCCACACCCCTCCCAGTGCACTTTCCTCAGTGGGAAAAAGTGATCCTGAGAGGGGTGGGAGGAGCCTCTTTGTTGGCTGGGGGGATGCGAAAAAGGCATCCCCTGAGGGAAGCGCCATCCTCAGGGGTCTTTGAAGCTCCTCAGGGACGGATCCTGTTCCTCCTTTCTCTCAGACTCCGAATTACGCCTCCCTCTGGGCCTCTCTTCTGCCTCAAGCCCTGTTCCACTCACAAGGTGTCCTGCCAAGAGTACCTTTCTAGCCCCCCTTGAGGATCTTTGGGGCCCATAACCTCCACAGGCTTTAAAGTGTCCCTGATTTAGGCAAGCCAGACAAAAGCCCCCAACTCAAAAGAAGGGCCACAGCTGAAGGAACGTTCCCACATTTTATAGGCTACGTCTCTCGTTTGCTTCTTTCATAGATAAACCTACCATGCTAATGCTTTTCTCATGGTTTTCAATGCATCATTATGCAACGTAAAACTGAGTCAGATCTGAACTCATTCCATCCCCTTCTAACACTTTCTAACATTTTATTCCACTCTCCCCCCTCCCCCCTGATAAATTCACTTACATATTCATCTGGTTTCTTCATTTTGCTTTATTGTTCAATGTGTATAAAGTAGGGCATCATTTACCTTGTTTCCAATAATTTATTAACATTTCAAAATGAGAAAGGTTGTTAATAATTAGGAAATATGTTTTTAAGAAACCTGTATTAAGATAAAAAGTACAAATTCACAATCATGCTAGTAACAGTTTTCTCCAAAACCATAGCAATCTGACATGTCAAGTATGATTGATCTTTCTGATGAACTTGATATCACAAAATGAAATAGAAAATATGGTAATGATTAATCTGAGAAACTGAACAATGAATAACTTAAATCAAGAAATTTAAGAACTTTTAAAAAAAAATTGCACATAGGGTACACTGTTGGATCAATAAAACCATTTTGTCAAGCCTCCAAGTAATGTGTTCTGAAAAATTAAGTCCAAGACATCTATCTTACTTTTCAAATCCATTTATTAGGAACACATTAAATTGGCATGGACTCTGTGGGTCCTTTCTTGAGAAGCATCCTGTTTTCACAAAAACCCATTCCGTACATTTCTATTTCCCTCCTGTGTAGCTCCTCTTATGGGAACTAAGGTGACTTAGTTGCACTGGTGCAATTTCTTCTGTGTGTGGGTGTTAATGTGGTAAGGGACTGGCTTGTACTCAAACTCTTCCCAGATTCATTGCATACATGATTCTTCTTTTGTGTGGATCCTGTTATGGGAAGTAAGGCAACGCTTATCACAGAAGCCCTTCCCACATTCCAGGCATTTATAAGGTTTCTCTCCTGTGTGGGTCCTTTTATGGTAAATCAGATAGCCACTTGCAGCGAAGGTCCTTCCACAGTCTGTGCACTTATAAGGTTTTTCCCCTGTATGCATCCGGTTATGGAAACTAAATTGACTGCTTTGGCTGAAACTCTTCCCACACTCTAGACATTTATAAGGCTTCTCTCCTGTGTGGATTCTTTCATGACAAGTAAGAGAACTCTTTATAGCGAAGCTCTTTCCGCACTCCATGCATTTATAGGGTTTCTCTCCCTTGTGGAGCCGTTTATGGAAGTTCAGGTAACTGCTGGTTTTGTAGCTCTTTCCACACTGCAAGCATTTATAGGGTTTTTCCCCTGTGTGGACCCGTTTATGGGAAGTAAGGCCACTGCTTTGGCTGAAGCCCTTCCCACAGTCTAGGCATTTATAGGGTTTTTCTCCTGTGTGGATCCGTTTATGAGAAGTAAGAGCACTCTTTACCCTGAAGCCCTTCCCACACTCCATGCATTTATAGGGTTTCTCTCCTGTATGGATCCGTTTATGAGAAGCAAGGGAACTGCTTGTCCTGAAGGGTTTTCCACATTCTGTGCATTTATAAGGTTTTTCACCTGAATGGATCCTTTTGTGGGATGTCAGTTGATTCGTATTTCTGTAGCTCTTTCCACACTCTATACACTTACAGGGTTTCTCGCCTGTATGAATCCTTTGATGGGAAGCAAGGCTACCACTTTGCCTAAAGCTCTTCCCACACTCTATGCATTTAAAGGGTTTCTCTCCCGCATGGATCAATTTATGCTTAGTAAAGTAACTGCTTGTACTGAAGGTTTTTCCACAGTCTACACATTTATAGGGTTTTTCTCCAGTATGCATCCTTTTATGGTAAGTAAGGGAATTCTTCATACTGAAACTTTTTCCACAGTCTACACATTTATAGGGTTTTTCCCCTGAATGGAACCTTCTATGGCATATCAGGTAACTACTAGTGCTGAAGCTCTTCCCACATTCTATGCATTTAAAGGGTTTTTCTCCAGTATGCATCCTTTTATGGTAAATAAGGGAATTCTTCCTACTGAACCTTTTCCCACAGTCTACACATTTATAGGGTTTTTCCTCTGAATGGATCCTTCTATGGTCTATCAGGTCACTACTAATTCTGAAGCTCTTCCCACATTCTATGCATTTAAAGGGTTTTTCACTATGTATCCTTTTATGGGAAGTAAGGGAACCCTTCCTACTGAACCTTTGTCCACAATCCACACATTTATAGGGTTTTTCCCCTGAATGGATCCTTCTATGGCATATCAGGTAACTACTAGTTGTGAAGCTCTTCCCACACTCTATGCATTTAAAGGGTTTTTCTCCTGTATGTATCCTTTTATGGGAAGTAAGGGAGCTCTTCCTACTGAACCTTTTCCCACAGTCTACACATTTATAGGGTTTTTCCCCTGAATGGATCCTTCTATGGCGTATCAGGTCACTACTAATTCTGAAGTTCTTCCCACATTCTATGCATTTAAAGGGTTTTTCACTATGTACCCTTTTATGGGAAGTAAGGGAACCCTTCCTACTGAACCTTTTTCCACAGTCTACACATTTATAGGGTTTTTCCCCTGAATGGATCCTTCTATGGCGTATCAGGTCACCACTAATTCTGAAACTCTTCCCACATTCTATGCATTTAAAGGGTTTTTCTCCAGTATGTATCCTTTTGTGGGAGGTTAGATAAATGTTGTCCCTGAAGCTCTTTCCACACTCTAGGCACTTATAGGGTGTTTCTGTGGTGTGGATCTTTTTATGAGAAGTTAAATTACCTTTCCACCCAACACTTTTTCCACAGTCCATAGCATTGTAGGGTTTCTCCCTTGCCTGGATCATTTTATGTAAAGTAAGATTATTACTGCTGAAGCTGTTTCCAATTTTGCAGTTGTTACTAAAATTGGGGTTTGCTTTGAATCTTTTTCTACTTTGACATTTCCCCGTATTTGCTTTGGAATCATGTTGGGTCAGGAAGTGATTCATTTCCACACATTCACGAATAGATTTTTCCCTCCAATTGTGCTTCTTTTCACGTTTCCTCCTTCCCCGCTTATTTGTAGATGTCTCCTCAGGAATTTCAGTTTTGATTATTTGCAATGGCATTAAATTTGACTCTTGGTCATTTTCCTTCTGCGCATCAAATGCTTCTGGGGGAAGAAAAATAAATTACAATAATGTACAATGTACGATTTGCTGTCCCAATGCATAGATTTATCTAATACTGGCCATCTGCAGGGAAAGCAATGAGGGAAATTACAACTTGCAACAAAATACCTTATGCCAAGCCCAGCAGACTTGAAATTCAGGGCTTAGAAAATTTAGAATTACGCTGCCTTTGAGGACTTCCGGCGGTGACGTCAACGTGTATGGAGTTAGAGAACGGAGCTCCGCTCTTGAAAGTCCAAAATTCCCATCTAGGAAGCCGCTGTAGGCACTATTGATCTTGTAGAGATCGATAGAAAAAGGGGGAACTTCCAAGGGCCTCAGGGGGGAAAGTAACCAACCCGAAGGTTCAGGAACAACCTCCTAATTCCAGAAGAGAAAAAACCAACCATCTCGGCTCCCCGGAGCGTTGCAATCGCACAGCAGGAGGGCGAAGATTAAACAGAAAAGATCGCAACTGTATCTAAATTGACTTGAAAGCAGATTGAAACGCAACGCGGAAAGCACAGCTACAGAGAGAAAGCAGAAATTGGCAGACAGCGAAGTTGAGACCCTGAAGAGACGGCTGAACAGCAGCCAGAAAAGCGGCGAACGTAAGACGACAAGGGTGGAAGAAGAGCTGACAGGCGGTGACTGTGCGAAAAAGAGAAGCTGCTTGGAACGAGAGATTCCCAAGGATTTATGTGAAGCGATTTTGGACTAGACCCTAAATTTGGATATAACAGTGAAGAAGGACTTTCTTTAGGCTGGAGAAGCAAGTTACACAGCAGAACCAGAGACCAACCAGCAGAAGGGCAACAGATCGCTGAGAGAGTCGGAAGCCATTAATAGCTGCAAGTGAAAGTGCGAATGAGCGAGAGCGGTACATCGGACTGACAGCGAAGAAACAGTGTTTGGACTAAATATCAGAGGCTACCAAATTGGACTTAATTTTTGGATACTGTGAACAATCAACATTGAAAACCTGAACTTTGGACAATTGGAATTCTTGGCTTTTTGGACATTTGAAAGAGAGAGACACCAAAACTAAGACTTTGAATATACAAAAACTCTAGATACAAGAATTTCTACACGTAAGACTGAAAGGGAACTTTATATTAAGAGCAAACTAACTTTATATCTATACTTGACTAAGATTTGTTAAAATATAAATATTGATTAATACTTTTTATTGGTGAGATAATTGATAAATTGACAACTATTTATATGAATGAGTAATTGAATGATCAATTGAAATAAATAACTTTAAGTAAATACTAACCTAAAAATACTAAATATTTAATCATATATTTACATTAGTGATATTTAAGTGAATAGATTTTAGTAGCCTACTACCACCAATAGCCTCCCACCGGCCGGTACGCTCCCATAGAGAGGGGCTCCTCCGGGTGCTGTCAGCCCAGAGATATGGAGGATCCCGGATCTGCACACCTTCCGCCGCGCCTTAAAGACCTTATTATTTCACCAGGCGGGCCCGGCCTAATTTTCTCTCTCTTTCATAAAAGATTGTCAATTTTTAAATATCTTTTAGTATCTTATATATTCAATTTTAAAATTGGTTTTAAACAGTTCAGGGTTTTAAATTTGTCGGAGCCAAAACTATTTAATTTGATTTTATTCTACTTTTAAATTTTGTATGGATGTGTTTTTATTGTCTGGCTGTGCACCGCCCTGAGTCCTTCGGGAGTAGGGCGGTATAGAAATCGAAATAATAAATAAATAAACAAATAAACAAACAAATAAATAAATAAATAAATAAATAAATATATTCAGACCTGACAGCCTGACCATTATATTGTATTGATATATAAACTATTAATTATTATATTGTATTGATACACAAACTATTAATTATTAATTGATTGTTATACTAAGATTTAATGAAGTGCTAGAATTCTAAGCTTTTCCCTCGACCTCCTTCATCATATATATTCCTCCCCACCCCCTTGGGTATATATTTAACTGCCTAATTAACTATTCAATTGCCAGAGTTCTAAGGACACGTACAGAGGTAACTTACAACCAGATAAGATCAATCAGTTTTTAAGGACCTATATAACATAGAAGCTAGACACCATTACTGAGAATAATACTTTTATAGACAGTAAGGTTGAAATAAAATAAGAACATTTTAGTGTATGAGAATTTGGGAGATCCTGCAAAAAAGAATTAAGATGACAAGCACTGGCACAACCACCATAACCAAAACAAGCAAGAAAATAATTCCAAATCAAACCTCCCAAACAGCATCTCCGGCACAACAAAGAACCATAGAAACTATGCTTGGATTGGAAAAAGAAAAGTCAGTCTCCATTTCCAGTAGGCAGAATATCCAGTCAGTGCTGGCAATGATACAGGAAGCCATGAGCAAGACCCAAGAAACGATTGCCAACAACCATGAGGAGACCAGAAGAAACCATGATGACCTGAAATCTGATGTGGGAGACATAAATGATAAGATAAAAAAAAATGGATGACAAGATTGAAAAAATTCAACAGAACATTGCCAAAAATGAACAAAGAATTGAAAAGACAGAAATGAAGATGGAACAGACGGTTAAGAAAGTGGAAATGCTGGAACAACAACAGATGGCAACTAATCGGGAGCTCGAAGACTCACTCACCTATCTGGAAATGGAAAAGGCATCATTTTATCTAAGGTTCCAGAATATAGTAGAAACTAAGGAGGAAGACTTGGGAGAGACAATGACAGAGATCATAGCTGAAGCAACACAGAGAGACAAAGACAATATACGAAGGGACATAGATGAGGTGTACAGAGTGCATACCAATTATGCACGCAGGAACAAACTACCAAAAGAAGTCCATATTCGATTTACGAAGAAAACGACAAAAGAAGAGATATACAGAAAAATGAGAGAGGATGCAATCTTTTACAAAGGGAAAGAAATAATAACACTGAAACAAATCCCAAGACGTGTCAGAGACCAGAGGAAAACTTACAACTTCCTCACAACACAACTAAATAAACATAAGGTGATGTTCCGCTGGCTACTACCAGAGGGTACCTTAATTTCATGGCAGGACAAGAAATTCAAAATAGATAGACTGGAAGGAGCTCAAGGATTTTTCGATCAACATTTTGTCCCCGAAGAAGATCAAGAATCCAGAATGGAAATGGAAAATAAGAGCCAAGAGGAGGAATCAATAGAAGAAGCGAAAGATGAACAGGAAGAGAAGAGAAGATTGAAAAGAGAAAGAGAAGAGAGGGAAGGAGCAAGAGGGAAAACACAAAGAATAACAAGAAACATCAAGAAAGTAAAGACAACAAGTAGATAGGAAGAAAAATGGAACAGGAAATAAAGATGATTTCGATCAACATCAATGGATTAAACGCCCCAGCTAAAAGAACTCGGACACTTACCAAACTACAAAAATTAGGAATGGACATTATAAACTTACAGGAGGTCCACATTAAAAAACAACACCAACAGATATTAGAAAACACAAAACTAGGGAACCTTTACACTTCACTGGCAGACCAGAAAAAAAGAGGCATTGCAATTTATATTAGGAAACATCTAAAAATAAAACAGATATACGCAGACGGAGAGGGAAGAGTTTTAATGGTTGAAATACAAACGGAATCCAAGACAATACTATTAATCTCAATTTATGCACCAAATGAGAATCAACGCACTTTCTTCCAAAGCATACATGACAGAGTAAAAGACTTAGACTATGAAAACATTTGCATTATAGGTGACTTCAATGCAATTTCAGATATGGAAAAAGACTATTGTAGTACCAGGAAAAATAAAACCAAGAAAAAAACCCTTCCAGACACTTTCAAGGAAATGGCACAGGAATTCTGCCTCCAAGATGCGTGGAGGGAAATAAATAAAGATAAAAAACAATACACTTTCTACTCCAATCCACACTTATCTTGGTCCAGAATAGACATGGCCTGGATGTCAACAGATTTTAGGAAAGACTTAGAAGAAATAGAAATAATGACAAACACATGGGCAGACCATAATCCGATAAAAGTAATCTGGAAAGGATATCAGAAGAAAAAGAGATGGATGATGAATACCGAAATTCTAAAAAGTAATGAATATGCACAAATGATAGAAAAGGAAACGGGAATATTTTTTGAGATTAACACCAAAGAACAAAAACTTCCCTCCAAAATTTATGGGACACGGCGAAAGCTTACATAAGAGGCTTAATGATATTGTACCTGGCGAAAAAAAACAAAGTAAAACAACAGGAAAAAGATAACTTACTGAAGGAACTCAAGAAGTATGAATTTGAGCTACAGAATGAACCTCTAAATAAGAAGATTAAAGGAAAAATAAATTTGGCCAAACATAAAATAAACTTGATCACACAAACAGAAATTGCGAGGAAAATCAAACTTGTAAAGCAAAACCACTTCGAATACGCAAATAAGACAGGGCGATGGCTGGCATACAAATTGAAGCAAGAAAAAGAGAGAAGGACAATCCATGAATTACAGGATGATACAGGAGAGATACACTATAGGAACAAAGACAAAAAAGAAATAGCAAAAACTTTCTTCCAGAAACTTTATGAACAAGAAGAATCTCCAGAAGAGGATATCAAACAATACCTTAATGAAGTTGATATTCAAGAACTAGAAGAATCACATAGGGATCTTCTGGACAGGCAGATTACGATGACAGAACTGATAGAAGCGAGGAAGAAACTAAAAGTAAATAAAACCCCAGGACCGGATGGGAAACCCGCAGAGTTCTATATGTCTTGACAGCATCCAATAGACAAATCCTACTCGGAGTATTCAATGACGCACTTCTGGAAGCTACGATTCCTGATTCCTGGACAGAGGCCATCATAACATTGATACCAAAAGAAGAGACAGACCATACCCATATCAAAAACTATAGACCGATATCGCTTTTAAACGTGGGTTACAAATTATTTACATCAATAATTACAGAAAGAATCAAGAAAATAATCAGCAAATATATCCACCCGGACGAGAACTGTTTTATCCCAAAGAGACAGATAAAGAACAATTTGAGACAAATAATGGACATATTAGAATATTACGAAACAAATTTTGACAAACAAATGGCCTTAATCTTTTTAGATGCACAGGCGGCCTTCGATAACCTAAATTGGAAATTCCTTACGTTACAATTAGAAGCTATGAAATTCGGCATTAAATTTACTAATATGATAAAGAAAATCTATTCTTCCCAAACAGCAAAAATAACAATAGTGACCTGACAGAACAATTTCAAATAACAAAAGGAGTAAGACAAGGGTGCCTTCTATCTCCTCTACTATTTATACTAACATTGGAAATCCTCTTAAGGGAAATTCGAAGAGATAAGGAAATACAAGGTCTTAAAATCAGGAGGGAGGAATACAAACTCCAAGCCTTTGCCGACGATATTGTACTTATCACAGAACAACCAATAATAACGGGCACTAAAATATTAGACAAAATAGAGAAATACGGGAAAGTAGCGGGACTAAAATTATTAAACAAAAGACAAAGATATTAACGAAGAACCTTACTAACCAGCAAGAAAAAGAATTAGAGGACACAGTAGGTATACAAACTACAAAGAAGATAAAATACCTAGGAATATGGCTCACCAATAAAAGTACATCAATTAGAGAAGACAACTATGATAAACTCACAGGACAAATCAAAAAGGATCTAGAAACCTGGAAAAAATTACAATTATCTCTATTGGGAAAAATTGCTTCAATCAAAATGAATGTCCTTCCCAGAATGTTATACCTATTCCAAGTGATCCCAATAAAACCGGGGAAGAATTTCTTCAAAGATTTTAACAAATTAATAGCGGACTATATCTGGCAAGGCAAGAAAGCAAGAATTAAAATCAAATATCTACAAGACTCAAAAGAAAGAGGAGGACTTGCGCTACCGGATTGGGAAATATATTATAAAGCATCAACATTGATCTGGACCAAGGAATGAATGGAGCTAAAAAACAAAAGATTGCTAAATTTAGAAGGATTTGATCTACAGCGAGGGTAGCATGCATTCTTGTGGGAGGGCACTGATAAACAACACGGATACTTTCAGAGACATACTGTCAGGCAGGCACTATATCACACATGGCAGGGTATCAAAAAAGCTCATTATTACAAAATTCTGGAATGGTTATCATGGAGGCCCAGATTTACCCAAATGCCATGGATAGCACCAAAATGAAAACTTATAAGGATCTACTAAACAACCAAGGAGAGCTAAGAACGAGGCAAGAATTGCAGGAGATGGGTACAGTCATCGATTGGTGGCCCTACTTACAAATAAAATCAAGATATCAGAAAGATTTGACCCAATTTGAATTCCAAAAAGGCCAAAATGAACTAGACAAAATTCTACAAGAACCACAAGACAAATTAATAAAAAAAGTTTATAACTATCTACGAGCATACAAATTAGAAGAGGAGGTAGTGAAAGACAACATGTTAACCTGGGCAAAGAACTTCGGCCATAACATCGAATTAGATAAATGGGAAAAATTATGGACAATAAACTACAAATTGACAATGTCTGTACCCTATAAAGAAAACCTGCTCAAAATGTTTTATAGGTGGCATCTTCCCCCGGCCAGGTTGGCAAGAATGTTCCCCAACACATCTCCAACATGCTGGAAATGTAAGCTACACAAAGGAACCTATTATCACACATGGTGGACTTGCCCAAAGGCAAAACAATACTGATAAATGATCAAAACACAAATAGAACAAATAGAAATGAAACCAGAAACCTTCGTATTAGGCATTATATCTGGACAATATGAAAAGGAAATAAAGTACCTAATAATCCATATAACAACGGCAGCACGTATAACTTTTGCACAAAATTGGAAGAGTAATGACATACCGAGTAAAGACAGAGTAATTAGTAAAATCATGGAATGTGAAGAAATGGATAGACTCACTAAGGAACTTCAAGATAAAGAGGAACACGATTACTATTTAGTATGGGACAAGTGGTACAAGTGGTTGGAAGAAAGAAAAAAGAAAAAATAGGACCAGGAGGTAGCTAGTGGAACCCAAGATAGATATAGAAATACAAACTACCCAATGTAGGCCAATAGTGACTTAAAAAAAAAAACTAGACATAATGTAAAAGAAGAGTCAAATATACAAAGGAGAATTATATAGCAGACAACTGTTGCGATAACGTTGACATGATTATACCTGACTTCTTTTTTTTGTTTACGTGTTTTGTACGTCTTGTTATTACTTGTTTTGTTTTGTTTGTATTTTTAAATAAATAAAAAAAATTAAAAAAAAAAAAAAGAACTACGCCGCCTTCGGTATGATCTAAGTGTAGCTCATAAAATTATCTACTACAATGTCCTACCTGTCAATAACTACTTCAGCTTCAACCAGAACAATACAGAGCACACACTAGATACAAACTTAAAAGTGAACTTCTCCAAACTCGATTGTAGAAACTTATGACTTCAGCAACAGAGTGGTCAATGTCTGGAATGCACTACAGGATTCTGTGGTTTCATCCCCAAACCCCCCAAATTTTAATTTAACTGTCCACTGTTGACCTCACCCCATTCCTAAGAAGTCTGCAACGGGCGTGCATAAGAGCACCAGTGTGCCTACCATTCTGTCTTAATGTTCCCTTTATTTGTATTCATTTTATGTATTCAATTCATGCTTATACTTATATATATAATCTAATATGTACTTGACAAATATTTTTTTTTTAAAAAATGACAGTATGAATATTAGTTACTAACTTAAAAGACTAGCATGGCTGATCATCTAACTCTCATTCTTGGCAGTTAAAAGGTTAAAGCAAAAACACGTCTTGACATCAGGACGTAGCACACAAATTGTCTCAACTATGACACACCCAACTTGCATTCAATAAGACAACATATATCATTGCAACAAAGCAATACAAAATATGTTGCTGAGTAGGACAACTACAACAGGCAAAAACAGCCTCTCCCTGAACATCTTCCCAATCCCTCTGCAGTAATGACCCAGGGCCCAAGGATGACCACAAGACTGAATGTCAACCCTTGCTGGTCGCCACACTTTTTTCTAAGTGAAACTGTGCTACTTAGAAGACCATGAAGGGGGACTGGAATTAATGTAAGAGGAAAAAAGAAGAGATGAAATCATTTTTAATAAGTTACGTATAGATCTAAGTTGTAAATAAAGAATCTAGTGATAGCTTGCTCTGACTTAAATTGTCCTCCAGAGGAACCCTTACCTAAAGAGGCCAAGATCCTAGATGTTTCCAACATGACTTCTTCATGCAGGGCTTTCTGGCTGGGATCAAGCAGCAACCACTCTTCACTATTGAAATGGATGGCCACCTCCCCAAAGGACACAGCACCCTAAAGAAGGAAGGAGCCCTGTGAGCAGACTCAATAGAATTTGCAAGATCTCCTTCAATCTGCAAAACCTAAGAGCACAAAGTGAAATTTCTTGGACATTTCCCTAGTTGGACTCAACATAGTATATGATAAACAGGGCAGCATTCACATCACTTTACGTGAAGACCTGGCTTTTCCAGCAGGCCTGGGGCCGTTGATCTCGTTCTTGTGATCTGGCAAGATCCGGCCATGAATGGCGTGAATGAGTTTTTAATGTTTTTAATTTTCAAATGTTTTTTATAATGATTTTTTAAAAATATATTGTGAGACGCCCTGAGTCTTCGGAGAGGGGTGGCATATAAATTGAATTAATTAAATTAAATTAAACTAAATCACTTTGATTGACTCTGCTGACCTTCAATGTCAGCAACCTTCCTTGATCAAGTGGCATAGTGTGCCTTAGACACACCATCTACCAGTGGCCCCAATATTCCATCATGTTTGCAAGAGATTCCGTGGGATTTCTGTCTGACATAGTAACCTAATGGTCTTTGTGGTTCTTTGAACGGTCAACCTTGCTCACTCTCATGAACTTTCATGAAAATGCTAGGAAGGCACTTCCAGCCATCAAAATGCAATTCATCGAGAGAAAGAGAAGAGAGAATATAACTTTGTCACTTTGAATGTATGCTAATCGGTATACATCAAAATGAAATTTTGTTGTATACAGCCCTCAAGGTTCTCCACCTCTAATAATTAAATACAAAATTATGCATATACCCACATATATGACACGAAGAAACAACAGTTTAGTTTGGATGTATACATGGCGAGAGAAACAAATCTTTGAAGTTTACCAGACGGATGGCATAGGGAACAAAGCTGTTACAGAATCTGTTAGTACTGCTAGAAATACTTTGAAACCGCCTTCCAGAGAGGAGCAACAAAACAGAATGTTAAGAGTGTGTGTGTGTTTGTGGTCTCTAACAATATTTTGAGCTCAAAACCCCTAACGCTTATAAGCAGTATACTGAATGACAGGAAGCGAGCCTCCTATAATCTCAGCTGTCCTCACCACTCTGTATGGACTTTCTCTGTAAGGCACTGCAGACACCAAAACAAACAGTGAACTAGTTTGTTAAAACGCTTCCATCCTGCCTCTGTAAAAAGTGGCCAGGGATAGAAGGAGAAACATGCGCTCTTCTCATCCAACGAAAGAAATGCAGATATTGGTTTGCACTCTTCACTAACGTTGATGTGTGGAGAGAACAGTTCAGATTCTTTGTTAACTGCATCCCCAAAACTTAATACCGTTGACCATGTCTACAGCTGCATCCTTGATACAGAGTGGAGTATGACCAGTACGGATGTTTCTAAAATCTACGATGATCTCCTTCATTTTATTAACAGTTCTGCTTCTCCTGTTTTTATCCCTTTCACCAAAGTTAGGAAAACAAGATTATACTTACCATAAAGTAGATTTAGCCTAACTATTCATGTCTCCTGTCTGCTTTACTAGGGATAGGCAACATGAAGTGCCATGTGGTATTTTTTGAAACCAGAATTATATAACCTGTCAGGGTAAAGATTTAAGACCTGACCAGCTGCTATAATGATGTAATGCTGGGAATGAGTCAGTAAGGCTTTTTGGCTGATATCACTTTAAGAGCCTGTAATAAGACGACGCCCTGTTGGGGCATATCTCTCTCTCCGTGTGTGCTTCTGTGCTGTAATTTACCTATTGCTATTTGTTTGAAGTCTGACTAAAGAATGTGTATGTATATATTCCTTGTAGATAAAACCACTATTTAAATACAAACCTCTGTTTGGTGTATTTACTTCTGGGTTGTCTTACATAGTCACACTGTGCGCACTCTGACATAAATTCCATACATCTCCAAAACTTAGATGAGAGGTGGGCCTAGTTTGACTGATCATAAATTTAAATTTATAATTTTCTTGCTGTGTGCTTTGCTCAAGAATAGCATATCATATGTTGAATCCTCAAAGAAGACTAGAGGTCTCCTACTGTTCCCCCATATTAGCTGTTCCTTCCTACCTGAGTTGGAAATCCAGCAACTCTTTCAGCTTCACCAATAGAAGGAGATGATTCAATGAACAACGGTGACTCCATTTTGTCCACTGGGAAGGAGAGAGACAGGATGGAAACAGGAAAGGATAACTTCATCTTTTTAGCCTGAAGACACAAATTAAGATTTCTTCCTGTCATGCCCAGGAAACCTCCATTTCTCTCTCTTCTACACTCTGCCTATCATAGGGTCCATCATGGGAGCCAAGAATAAACTCACCACATGCTGAAGAACAAACCTGTTACATTGTTCTCCTAACCTTTTGGAACAACACGTGGAAGTTTATACTCTTGGCAACCAAAGCATTTGCTCAATCACTGTAAATTCTTCCCCCCTCTCTACAGTTTGAAACCAGAGAAATTAGTGATATTCTAGCAACCCAGGAAACATGCTCACAAGGATAGGTGGTGTTGGAAATGGCCCAGCAGGGATCTGTGTAGGAATTTAGTCAAAATTATCTCTTTAGGAATGGCAAAAACAGATAAATCTCTCAGGATGGAGGAGGAGACAGAATGCAACTCAAGGTGTTCCCTACAAGAGTTGGTCTTCTGGGAAAGGCCAAGCATAGGCTTGCTCTGAAGGGAGGGAATTACTTTGTGCGCCTTAAGTCTTCTAGCTTGAAGAGGGAGTTCGATCTTTCTTATTGGGCCACTTTCTACTAAGTCCAATGACTAAGACACGAGAAGACACAGAGAATTAAGGATAACTAGACTCTTTCTAGAAAGTCTCCAATCCAGTGGAACAGTCTGCCCTTACCTAGTGAGGTATCCTGACCTTGACTTTTATCCTTGGGGATCCCTCTGAAAGAAAAATCAGTAGAAATATTTGTGAGATCCACCCAATTCCTCCCCATTCCTGGAAGAACCTCATTACCTGAAATATAAGCGGAGAAGAGCAGTTAAGAGGACAGGACAAAAGAGGATCTGGATTTTATTTTCTGCCCACAAAACCCTTCTGTCCATCAGTGGCGATGGATGAGACCCAATGGGAGAATCGCTCCAAACGACCGACTCTTTCCAAGAACGCAGGAACAATTTCGTTAATGAGTTTCTCTAAATATCTACTCGCATTCTTAACCTCCAAAACTCCATCAGGGAGAAATGGAAGACTTCAAGCAGGTGAAGATCCCTTCGTATTTCCCAAAAGAAGCTTCTCTGACCTGGAGGTCTTCCTGCTTCTCCTCTTCTCTGCCAGGCTCAGAAGGGACCTTCCAGCCACTGGCACCGCTGGCTCTCCAAAGATCCTTCCAGTCTTCCGGGAATCTGAAGGAGATGTGAGCAGGGGGTTCTTTTAGGCTTCCTTCTCTCCTTCCCACTTCTTGGATTTCCCCATGCACAGCCAAGAGCAATTATGGGGCGGATTTCCCGCTCCCTCCAATGTCCTTCCCTCCCCCCTGGGGTGGATCTGAGTGACGGGATCACGTCTTGCCCGCCCCCACTGGATTCCCAGGGAACAACTCGCAGCCGGAACTACCCAACCACGCGGACGGAGTTGCGCATGCGCAGCGGGCTAGTCAGTCGGCAGCCAAGAGCGCGGCCCCTGCTGGCACCTGGGGGGAAATCGCGGCCGTGGGGGCAGCTTTGCAGGACAGCCTCTTCCCTGAGCTGCAGCTGCCCTTCAGAGCGAGCTGTGCAAGCGGCATCCGGGAGAAGCCAGGCGGAGATCGTGGGCCTCCCCGGGTCCTGGATCGTCTCTTCTTCTCTGTATCTCGCACACAATACAATAGAACAGAATTCTTGATTGGCCAAGCGTGATTGACGCACAAGGAATTGGTCTTTGGTGCATAAGCTCTCAGTGTACATAAAAGAAAAGCTACGTTCGCCAAGAATCATCAGGTACAACACTGAATGATAGTCATAGTCAGAAATTCGGCCTGGAGACAGCCTCAACGGAAGGGAGGCTTCCCATTGGCGAACCGGATCCCTTAGAAGCCAACTCCGAAGTACCCCTGTCAAGCCCCCCCCCCCCAATTCCACTTCTCCCCTCTTGTGGGAAGCCTCCGTGGGCTCCGCCTGTTGCTGCTGCTGGTGGGGACGTTGGCCAGGAGGGGGGAAAGGGGGGCCCAGGGGAAGGCTGGGGGGGAGGACCATTGAGGCTTGTGGGGGCCGGGGAGAGAAGGGGACTGGGGATATCCCTCCCCTCCATGGAAGACGTGAGCGGGATGGGAGCTTGCGAGACTCCTCCCCTTTCCTTTTGGACACGCCCCTCCCAGTGTGACTCCCAGAAGCAGCAGGAAAAGGTTCCGAGAGGGGTGGGAGGAGCCTATTCTGGCGGGAAGAGCGGAGAGACAGATAGTCACAGCTCTGAGGAAAGGCCACCGGGGGGGGGGGGCTTTGGGGTCCTCAGGAGGGACTCAACTTCTCCTTTCTCTGGGTCAGAGACAGAATTGGGCCTCCTTCTCGTCCCCTCTTCTCCCTCCGCCCCCCAGGAGACCTTCTCACACCCGTCGCTGAGGCGAGTGACTTGGAAGAGCCTCACACTGGATTCCCTTCAGGCCCTCAGACTCCACTCTCCCCCAAAGACCCTTCAGCATAACCATGGCGTTTCTTATTTACAAAGGGAAAGAGTGGAATTGCTGGCTGAAGAATATATTGGATGGATTTATTCCACTAATACATGAATGGTATTAAATGGGAAACTATATGTAGAAGCTGCCTGGACCTTCTTCCCCACAAGTACAAATCCTTAAAAGGCCAAAAATACCTTCCAAGTTGCAGAAAGAGGCAAAAGGCTGAAATTTTCTGGTTCCCCTTTGAGTCCTCTGGTGCAAAGGAAGAAGAGAAATTTGGCTGAGGCACTTTCAATGCTGCATGGATTATCTCCAGATGTAAAATTATATAATTAGGAAAATATTACTAAAAATGCCAAGATTTTATAATGAGGAATGTTCCCACGTATTGTAGGCTACAGTGTCTCGTTTGCTTCTTTCATAGATAAACCTACCTTGCTAATGCTATTCTCATTCCATGGTTTTCAATGCGTCATTGTGCAATGTAAAACTGAGTCAGATCTGAAGTCATTCCACCCCCTTCTAGCACTTTCTAACATTTTATTTCACTCTCCCCCTCCTACGTATTCACCTGGTGTCTTCATTTAGTTTTATTGTTCAATGTGTATAAAGTAAGGCATCCTTTAAATTGCGCAGAAACTGTTTATTAATCTTTCAAAATGAGAAAGGTGGTTAATAATGAGGAAATGTTTTTAAGAAATATATTAAGATCAAAAATACAGTCACAATCATGCTAGTAAAAGTTTTCTCCAAAACCATAGCAACCTGACATGTCAACTATGATTGATCTTTCTGATGAACTTGGTATCAGAAAATGAAATGCAGGCAGTAAAGTGTCATTTGAAAATCTTGAGAAATAGAAAATACGGTAATGATTAATCTGAGAAACTGAACAATGAATAATTTAAATCAAGAAATTAAAAAACTTTTTAAAAAATATTGCACATATGGTACACTGTTGGATCAATAAAACCATTTTTAAAGTCCCTTTTAGCTGGTTGAATAGAGTAGGGTAGGGTAGAGTAAGAGTAGAGTAGAGTAGAGAGGCTAGACTAGACTGAGCTGGATGAGATCTTGGAGGCCTTCAAGCCTAGACCCCTACTCAAGGAGAACATATACTGTTTCAGACAAGTGACTGAAAAATCTCCACTGATGAAGCACCCACAACGTCTGAAAGCAAGTTGTTCCATTGGTTCATTGTCCTCACTGTTAGGAAGTTTCTCTTTAATTCCAGGTTGCTTCTCCCCTTGAGTAGTTTCCATCGGTTGCTTCTTGTCCTGCCCTCTGGTGCTTTGATTGAACTGTGATATTGATGTCAATCGCATTGGCCCTCAGCTTATTATGGGTCATATGCATCCTTTGTCACTGCGTTCTTGTATTTCCCAGCTGAGCTTCATATTTTTGGACTAATAGACTTACTGTAGTTTGCCAAGTTCCTGATCAGTTTTCTTTACTGCGTATGTCCTATATTCCATTCCTTTATTACTACTCTTTCCTTTGTTCTCTCTGCCAGGAATGATCTTGGCAGAGGAACGCTGCCAAGATGTAGCTAATTAGATAGATAGATGTTTTTGTTACTTTTTACAAATAAGAGTTTTATTATAGAATACTTCTTCGGGTTTTATTTCAGAATATTGCAACTTGGAGAAAGCCACGGTCCATCCTCTAATTAATGGTGAGATTATCCCAGAGGCAAAAATGGGATTAAATCATGCCCTGACATCCTTGCCTTGCTTTGTTTTGCTTGCATACACCACCTCTTCACAAAACCTGGAGGCTGATCCCAGACTCAGTTCAGATAAAAAAATAAAGATAAAGCAGCTTGACCAAGCAGAGGTTGTGATCTTTTGGAGAAGAGAGGGGCAATTGTTTTAACAGTTTTTCTTGAGTGACACCTTAACTGAATAGGTAATATCTTTTGATTTAAGAACTTTATCCTAGGAGCTTCCCAAAATCAATCCATTTATTCAGTTGCTCCTACAGCAATCTTCTGAAAGAAGATGTAATTGTTTTTACACTCCATATCTTTAGATGGTTTCATATCACAAATTAAGGATACTGTAGTCCCTAAAGAGATCTCCTTCCCACCCTGTATGTAGTCCTGATCCGGGTCATATTAATAAGGTAAATAAGTTGATTGCTTTCCACAGGATATCCCCCCCCCCTCTGTGGGTTCTTTCTTGAGAAGCATCCTGTTTTCACATTTCTACATTTAGAAATCCATACATTTATATTTCCCTCCTGTGTAGATCCTCTTATGGGAACTAAGGTGACTTAGTTGCACTAGTACAATTTCTTCTGTGTCTGGGTATTAATGTAGTAAGTAAGGGACTGGCTTGTACTCAAACTCTTCCCAGATTCATTGCATACATATGATTCTTCTCCTGTGTGGATCCTGTTATGGGAAGTAAGGCAACGCTTATCACAGAAGCCCTTCCCACATTCCAGGCATTTATAAGGTTTCTCTCCTGTGTGGGTCCTTTTATGATAAATCAGATTGCAACATACAGCGAAGGTCTTTCCACAGTCTGTGCACTTATAAGGTTTTTCCCCTGTATGCATCCGGTTATGGCAACTAAATTGACTGCTTTCCCTGAAACTCTTACCACACTCTAGACATTTATAAGGCTTCTCTCCTGTGTGGATTCTTTCATGACAAGTAAGAGAAGTCTTTACACTGAAGCTCTTTCCACACTCCAAGCATTTATAGGGTTTTTCCCCTGTGTGGACCCGTTTATGGGTAGCAAGGCCACAGCTTTGGCTGAAGCCCTTCCCACAGTCTAGGCATTTATAGGGTTTTTCTCCTGTGTGGACCCGTTTATGAGAAGTAAGGCTACTGCTTCGGCTGAAGCCCTTCCCACAGTCTAGGCATTTATAGGGTTTTTCTCCTGTGTGGATCCGTTTATGAGAAGTAAGAGCATTCTTTACCCTGAAGCTCTTTCCACACTCCATGCATGTATAGGGTTTCTCTCCTGTATGGACCCGTTTATGACACGCAAGGTTACTGTTTGTCCTGAAGGGTTTTCCACACTCAGTGCATTTATAAGGTTTTTCACCTGAGTGGATCCTTTTGTGGGATGTCAGATGATTTCTATTTCTGTAGCTCTTTCCACACTCTATACACTTACAGGGTTTTTCGCCTGTATGAATCTTTTGATGGGAAGCAAGGCCACCACTTTGCCTAAAGCTCTTCCCACATTCTATGCATTTAAAAGGTTTCTCTCCAGTATGCATCCTTTTATGGTAAGTAAGGGAATTCTTTATACTGAAACTTTTTCCACAGTCTACACATTTATAGGGTTTTTCTCCAGTATGCATCCTTTTATGGTAAGTAAGGGAATTCTTTATACTGAAACTTTTTCCACAGTCTACACATTTATATGGTTTTTCCCCTGAATGGAACCTTCTATGGCATTTCAGGTAACTACTAGTGCTGAAGCTTTTCCCACATTCTATGCATTTAAAGGGTTTTTCTCCAGTATGCATCCTTTTATGGGAAATAAGGGAATTCTTCCTACTGAACCTTTTCCCACAGTCTACACATTTATAGGGTTTTTCCCCTGAATGGATCCTTCTATGGTCTATCAGGTCACTACTAATTCTGAAGCTCTTCCCACATTCTACGCATAAAAAGGGTTTTTCACTATGTATCCTTTTATGGGAAGTAAGGGAACCCTTCACATGGAACCTTTGTCCACAATCCACACATTTATAGGGTTTTTCCCCTGAATGGATCCTTCTATGGCATATCAGGTAACTACTAGTTGTGAAGCTCTTCCCACATTCTATGCATTTAAAGGGTTTTTCTCCACAATGTCTCCTTTTGTGGGAGGTTAGATAAATGTTGTCCCTGAAGCTCTTTCCACACTCTAGGCACTTACAGAGTGTTTCTGTGGTGTGGATCTTTTTATGAGAAGTTAAATTACCTTTCCACCCAACACTTTTTCCACAGTCCATAGCATTGTAGGGTTTCTCCCTTGCCTGGATCATTTTATGTGAAGTAAGATTATTACTGCAGGAGCTTTTTCCAGTTTTGCACTGGTTACTAGCATTGGGGTTTGCTTTGACTCTTTTTCTACTTTGACATTTCCCCGTATTTTCTTTGGAATCACGTTGGGTCAGGAAGTGATCCATTTCCACACATTCAAGAATCGATTTTTCTCTCCAACTGTGCTTATTTGTAGATGTCTCCTCAGGAATTTCAGTTTTGATTATTTCCAATGGCACTAAATTTGTCTCTTGGTTATTTTCCTTCTGCGCATCAAATGCTTGTGGGGGAAGAAAAATAAATTAGAATAATGTACAACATACGATTTGCTGTCCCAATGCATAGATTTATCTAATACTGGCCATCTGCATAAATACCTTATGCCAGCAGACTTGAACTTCTGGGCTTAGAAAATTTAGAACTACACCGCCTTTGGTATGACCTAAGTGTAGCTCATAAAATTAACTGCTACAATGTCCTACCCGTCAAGAACTACTTCACTTTCAACCACAACAATACAGAACACGCAATAGATACAAACTTAAAAGTGAACTGCTCCAAACTCGATTGCAGAAAATATGACTTCAGCAACAGAGTGGTCAATGCCAGGAATGCACTACCTGATTTTGTGGTTTCATCCCCAACCCCCCAAAATTTTAACCTAAGACTGTCTACTGTTGACCTCACCCCATTCCTAAGAGGTCTGTAAGGGGCGTGCATAAGAGCACCAGTGTGCCTACCGTTCCTGTCTTCCTGTCCTCGGTGTATTTCGCTGTGCCCTCAAGACCCTGCTGTTCCGCCAAGCCGGGCTATCAATTTAATGATTTTTCAATTGGGTTTTAAATTTTTGGGGTTTAAAATTTTAGCCAAATTGTGTAATAATTTTAATTATTTTTAACTGATGTTTGTCTTTGTGTTTTTTAATAGGCTGTACACCGCCCTGAGTCCTTCGGGAGAAGGGCGGTATAGAAATAAAATTATTTATTTATTTATTTAATGTTCCCTTTATTTGTATTCATTTTATATGTTCAATTCATGCTTATACTTATATATATATTATCTAATACGTATTTGACAAATAATTAGTGATTATTTATTATTATGAATATTGGTTACTAACATCTAACCCTCATTCTTGGCAGTTAAAAGGATAAAGCAAAAACACGTCTTGACATCAGGACATGGCACACAAATTGTCTCAACTATGACACACCCAACTTGCATTCAATAAGACAACGTACGTTGGACTTCCGGTCCGGAGCTGTGGTGCCACAGTCGGGGAATTAGTGGGCTCCAACGAGCCCGCGAAAACCCCGACTGACGAACTGCTGTCCGACCAGTCTTCGGACCGACCCCCATTTTGTAGGGATGGGGGTGAAGAGGAGCTCCTTGAAGGGCCAAGAGGAACAGGCAAGTTCCTCTGAGACGAGAGGGAATCCTCAAAGTCTGCGGCGGGGTTAGGCAGCCATGGCGGCTGCCACAAAGCCGTTGCAGACCGGGACACAAGATCGTGCAGGAGGAAGAAGAAAGAACAAGCTGGGTGAGTGACACCAACCCAGGCAAATAATGGGATTATTTGGAGTATCTTTTAAAATAAGACCCCAACTTTAAACTGTGGCTACAGATCTGTGGGGCTTGAAGATTTAAAAGAAAGGGTGGGAAAAAATGGAGACCCAAGACAAACTTTCCATTAATTAATTTGGCTAGAAGAACTTGTTTTCAATAATGTGGAAAATTGGATTCTTTTTTTTTATTATTTTTCTGGAGTGAAGAAATACTTCTTTGGGAATTTAAACCTGTGAAAGCTAACGAAGTTAATGAAGATTGACAGACGGATGGCTAACGAAGTTAATGAAGATTGACAGACGGATGGCTACAAAATTGCCATGAAGTCTGCGGTGAATAAGCAGGAGAGTGGATTGAAGAGATTTTACTTTCTACTTGGAAGAGAAATATTCTAAATGGCTTTCTATTTTGGATTATTATGATTATTTTGGATTTAACATTAGACTAATGGATTTGGGAAATCTTTATCCTGTTCTGCGTGATTTTAAGAAGAAAGATCTTGGACCTTTTCTACAATGGAAATTTACAGACTTAGCAAAAAGAAGGGGTGGCGCAGGAATAAAGACAGGAAGTGAAGACATCATGTTTGAAGCAGACATTTATAAGAGCACTAAAGTGATACACAGAACTTTTAATTTGAATAGATGAACTTTGAAGTGGAATATGTGGACAGACAGGAAAAAGAAGAAATAAAATAGATTTAAATTAAATGAAACTAAATTGTAATGTAATGCTTAAAAGCCTAAAGGAATAAAAGGGTTTTGTTTTTTTTTTCTTCTGGATTAAACAGGAAGGTTTTTGGAAAGGGAAAAATAATAAATGGCAATTAAAATAGGGATTTATATACTAAGTGGTTAAAAATTACAATGAGAAATGTATACTAGACTTCCGGTTGGTGAATCCCAGCAATATGGCGCTGTGACAGCGACCGCTGCTTGCAGCACCACTTTTTTGTTGCGTTTTGGGGTCCCTTCGAGGCGTGGGAGCTTGGAGAGCTCTGCGGACGATAGCAGGGTGTCAGCAGGCAGAGCGGTGAGGAGCAAGCACTCTCTGCTGGACTGACTACCGCTGTCAAACTAACGCGGCGCGTCTGCTTTAAATGGCAGACTTGAAGCTGTGATAGCCAACAAAAGACAGGAAGCAAGAAGATTTCGGTGAAGTTGGTGCCTATGATCATTCGTACTACCCTCCCTTAAACACGCTCGTAGTGAGTTCAATTGGATTGTGCTGGCTGCGTCGGATAAGAAGGATCCTGGAAGGAATTAGCGGCGACTGTGAGGTTGGAGGAGATTGGTGGGAGATGAAATCGCAGACGTGCTGGTGAGACTGAGGACACTTTTAGAAAGGGAGACGGAGCCTTCAGTGGATTGGATTGATACTTTGTTTTGAGCAAACAAACTCTGGAAAGTTAAGAGTGTGGAATAGACTAATTGAACAAAGGAACTGGATTTTGGAAGTGCGGTAGCTGTCAGGACTAATAATAAGACTGTCTTGAGCTGAGAGACTGAGAAGGAGCACTTGGGGAAGATAACATGGCTGATGAAATCTGAATGACAATGCAAATGGAGAGTGATTGAACTTAAGAGCAACGCGAAGCAGATCATACAGCAAAGCGTGCCTGCTGCATCATTGTAAAAGAATTTTTTTATATTTTTGGTTGCTTTTCCCCTTTGCTCTTTTATGACTGAGAGAAGTTATTGAGCAATTAATCAATCAACGAGTTGGGCAAATAACAACAACAAAGAAAAAAAAAACATTAGAAAATTTATATATCTACAAGTATATATCTATATTAATATTATATATATTACATATTCCATTTTAGATAATCTAAATTAATTGTGAACTTATTTAAAATTTATTAAGTACTTTTTAGATTTTTTTATTAAGGAATTTATATACGCTATAATCTTTTATATTCTATAATAGGATTTTTCCCTTTCTTCTCCTCCTTTCATCTTTCAATTATTGATTCTTAATTTTGATTAGCTTTTTATAACTTAAAATATTGAATATTGAGATTGCATAATTAATTATCTATATGTGTACTTAGATTGCTTAAGATATATTAGAAAGTCATCAGTGCTTAAGTGTTAAATAAGAGTAGGTAAAGATAATTTGCTTAAGTAGTGGTAGCAGGTGAGAGGGTTATCTTAGTTCAAATTAGTTTAACTATCAATTGATTAATAAGTGATTTATTACAAGATAGGTTTGTGCAACAGATAAAAAATTGAATTATTGATTTGTTGTATTACTAAACACTATTGAATAGTGGAACGGAAGGGAATGATGTAATATAAATTCATTTGATAGAGGCAGTTAAATATTGGTGGATGACAATTTGGAAAAACATTGAAAATATAACAAGAAAACAGAAAGAGGTATTAAAAGAGATGATGAGCTTCTCATCCACGGTGACAAAAACAGGAAAGAAAACATCCTCAAATCCCACGATCACAACGACATCACCTGCTACACAGAAATTGACTGAAGGTTTCTCTAAAATGGAGAAATCAGGAATCCTACCCACAATGCAAGCAATGCAATCAACATTGACAGCAATACAGGACACGATGATTATGTTACAAGAAAAAATGTCTAGTAACCATACTGAATTGAAGACAGATATTAGGGCATTAGATCAAAAAATGATTGGCATACAGGAATCGATACAAACTAATACACAGAAGATTAAAAAGATGGAAGTTAAAATGGAACAACAGGAAAAAAAATTAGATACGGTTGACCAAAAACTGATGGAACAGAATAGGGAATTGGCAGACTCAATTACCCAATTGGAAATGGATCGAGCCTCCTTCTACCTCCGTTTCCAAAACATTGCGGAAGATAAGGAAGAAGATCTGTGCCAGGTGATGGCAGAATTAATTGCTGAGGTGTTGCAACAAGATAAATTGGACATTATAAAGGAAATTGACGAGGCGTATAGGGTCCAGACAAATTATGCACGAAGAAATAAATTGCCAAGGGAGGTGCATATAAGATTCGCAAGGAAGAAGGTAAAGGATATCCTCTATAGTATGGCAAGAGATGAGCCAATCATGTATAAGGGAAAGGAGGTGATCATATTGAAACAAATCCCAAGGAGGGTAAGGGAGATAAGGAGAGATTATAGGTTTTTGGCTACTCAATTAAACAAAAGGAATATTCTCTTCAGGTGGATCTTACCAGAAGGCATGTGGATCACGTGGCAAGGGAATAAAGTTAAGATAGATAGCTTAGTAGCAGCTCAAGAGTTCCTGGATCAATTACGAGCGTCTGAAGAGGATCAAAGTAGTAAAGAGGAGTTAGAGGCGGAAACATCGAAAGAAGAAGCAACCCAGCAGATAAGAGAGAAAGAAGGGACATCGAAGGAAAAGGAGGAGGAAGATAAGGATAGTAAGGAGACAAAGAAAGACCAAAGTCCACAAAGAGTCACACGTGCCAAGAAGTATTAGGATAGTATACAAAAATTAAGAGATGGATGATTGGAAATTGATATCGGTTAACGTAAATGGCCTAAACGATAACAAAAAGAGGAAATTTTTTTTTACAAAATTAGCTAAACAAAATATGGATATAGTGTGCCTTCAAGAGGTCCATATTAAAAAGGAAAATCAAAAATATTTGGAATATAAGAAATTGGGGAATCTTTATGCATCCCTAGCTGATAAAAAGAAAAGGGGAGTAGCATTGTACATCAAGAAGGGAATAAAA